GTACACATGTATACATGGTTTAAATAGAGACAAGCTTTCTAATAACAATGAGAGTTTCATAGAAGAAGCAGAATGTCAGGATTTGTTTGCTATCTCTATAATGGGATCTAGGCCCACTGAGAGCAATCTGTGATTATTTAAATGCTTTTCTCATTTGCAGACTTCTTATTCTAATTTCCAATCACTGAGGAAGAAAAAAACCTTTGTATAAAATAGGGGTTCTATAAAATTAAAATTTGCCCCAAAAGTCTTCAAGTAAAAATCGGAGAGTCCCCATAATCTCAGTTCAGTGTTTGAATGTTTAGCTGATCAACAGAACTTGCACGGATTTGTTTGCTTTTCCTGACCATTTCTATACAGTGATTCATTTATTCAGTTGATAAATATTTATTGCATACCTACTCTGTTCCAGGTACTGGGGATCCTGCAGTGAATAGAACTGACATGGTCCCTGCCTTTGTGGAACTTATACTACAATGGGGGAGGCAGACAGTAAGCAAAAATGATACAAATACATAGTTACAAATTGTGGCACATGCTTTGAATAAAATATAAAGACTATCATAAGAAATAAGAGGAGTATTTAATTTCAACTGTGGTGTCAGGGAAAGTTTTTAAAACTGAAATCTGGAGGATAAACAGTAGTTACTTAGGCAAAGAGTCAGAGGGGAGTGCATTCTAGACAAAGGAAATGGAAGCTGGGAGAAACTTGGCATGTTAGAACTAAAAGGCCAAGTGGCTAGACCACAGTGAACATGGGTTCTGGGAGAGTGCCTTGAAGTGAATCTAGAGAGGTTGGCAGGGGCCACATGATGCAGGGGCTGAGAAAGACATCCACAGAAGCATCTGTACCTTTAAAAAAAAAAAGCTATAAGAGGCTATTGGAACATTTTAAGTAGGTGAGTGAAATTATTGCATTTACTTTTTTTTTTCCACCACCATAATCAAATTTATTACTCCAGTGGCACTAAAACTACTGGAAGTACTCATGATGACATTGGACAAGATTCCCTGCTGTCTAGCTTCTGTCCAAACAAGAATGTCTGCCTGTTGTTTCTTCCCACCTTTTGGGGAGTGGAATCCACTATAGGCCATTTATCCAAATAAACCTCTCAATGCGTGTCTTTTCTTTTTTCTTCTTTTGGCCATTTGAGTTTCCCTCAGAAATAGGAGGGGGAAAAATAAATATTGGGTGTCCCATCCCACCTCCCCCACCAGCCAAGCAAGTCCCTGCAGCCAAGGCATTTCTGTTGACTCCAAAATCTTCAAATGTAGAAAGAAACGGCATCAGGTGTTCATATTGAGTGAAGGTGGCACAGAGTGGCCCCAGAACCTGCCAGGCAGGCAGCCTTCTGTCTGGAGAGTCTTGAGGTGTTGGAGAATGAGGGCTTGTTTTGGTTGATCATGAGCCAGTGTAGGGTGGCACCTGGGTGGCAGGCTGCAAGGAGGGCAACCTACAATTTGTCCAGGAAGTTGTCCAGGGCCGGCATGCCTTCCTTCAGGCCTTTGTACTTCGTGTGTCGGCCACCATCTGTCTGGGGCACTAGTGTTGTGGAAGGGGTCTCCGGGCAGGATCTGCCAGTGGTCAGACTGCACTACAGCAAGGCCTGGCTGCCTTTGTTGGACCTCAGGTCAGAGGTGAAGCCATAGAACTCACTAACACGCAAGAAAGCCTTTACCACAAACCTGGGGGTGCTGGGCACCTGGTACCCCTTGAAGGCATGGTCCTGCTTTCTGTTCAGAACACCATAGATACCACCAACCACTTGCTCTGGACACTGGATTTCCACAAGGTGGATGGGCTACATGAGCTCATTTACATTTTTTAAAGATTATTCTCGGCTTCCCATGACCAGTGTGGCCCAGTAGGTTGAGCCTTTGATTCCTGGTCAGGGCGCCATGACTGGGTTGTGGTTTTGGTCCTCAGTTGGGACATGTACAAGAGGCAACTAATTGATGTTTCTCTCTCACACCAGTGTTTCCCTCCCTCCCTCCCTCCCTCCTCCCATTCTCTAAAAATAAATAAATAAAAATCTTTCCCAAATAAAGATTGCTCTCAGCTTGAAGATAGAGAAAACCGGTCCACACTAATAGTAAACATTCTCAGAATTATTTGGGGTTTATAAATCTCAGATTTCTTTTGTCTTATATTTTATTAGTTTGTATTATAGATTATTGGCATAAATACAGAAAACACTGACTGGTTTGCACTTTTTTAAAAAAATCACACTAGCTGCAGTGTGTAGAATGGATTTAGGAGATCAGGGACAGAGTAGAGAGACGTGCTGGGCAGCTGCCGTTATCCAGGTTGCTTGGGCTATAGAAATGTAACTAGATTTGAAGACAGTTGGATAGATTTAAGATATATTTTGGAGGTAGAAGTAACAAGACCCAAGGAGACATCAGGGATAGCTTCTAGATTCTGGTTTATACAACTGACTGGATGGGGACAGTAGTAAATCATTGATTTAGGGAAGAACAGATTTGGGGGGAGAGGAAAGTAGGAGGTACTCTTCAGTTTTAGAATGGTTAGATTCAAAATGCCTGTGATTCATTGTATGGCAATATTGAGAAGTAGTTGGATCTACAGTTTTAAAGTCATAAGTGTTTATCATGGTTAATATTTAAAGTCATCGGAATGAATAGAATTGCCTAGAAGAGTATAGAATGATAAGAGGCCCAGGATACTAATATTTGGAGGTCTGGAAGAGCATAAAGGAAGTCAAAAAAGATAGGATGAAAACTGAAAGAATGTGGTATTACAAAAGATAAAAGTATTTTAAGACATTCTTTGGGAAATTTTCTGTTTTATGTCCCTGTTGTGTCTTACATCCTTGCAATAATTTTTACTAGCGTTTGCTCTGGGAAATGTCTACCAGCCCTGGTTAGTTAATAATATGGCACAGTCCAATTGAAACACTAAGGAGTAGGAATTTTAATGCCTTAAAGCACTGGGTTGGCAAAACAGCTTTATTTGGGAGTTGAGGGAATGAAGCAATTGTTTTCAAATTTACTTTCTTTAACATTCTGTTCACTTGTGTTCAAAGTAAATATTTAGATAGTGTTTACTTAGAGGTGCTTCTATATCTTTAACCTTACGAAAAAAAATGAGAAAAATACCCATACCATGTCGACACAATCCATAGAGACAAGGTGGGAAACAAAGGAAGAAATCTAATGCTTCTATAGAAAATGTTCATGAAGTAAGTTCAGATTTTAAAAAAAGAATTAGCTCTCAGAGAGATTGAGATATTTAAATACTTTTTGGTGCTGTTTAAATTGCTATCCAACAGAATTTCTTGCCAAGGTGAATATGTACTCTATCTTTGCTTAGTAGGCGCTAGCCACATGTAGCTGTTGACCACATGAAATGTAGCTAGTGTGACTGAGGAACTGAATTTTTAGTTAATTGAAATAGCCACATGGAGTTGCTGGCTACCATATTAGCACAGAAAGAATGTAAATGTCATTCATAGTGTGAGACAAGATTTGATTATGGGTAAAGTGGCGGGGGGGGGCTCTTGCACTTATGTATCTTCCCTCTATACCTTTGTCTTTCTGCTTTCTTTGCTTTTCCAACCACTGCCACCATTGTATTGTACCCAGGTAACTTAAAACATGGGAGTTGTGTTTTCTGGGGATTTTTCCCCCTCTGCTTTGATTTTTCTTCAGTGAAAACATCTTCAATACAAAATGGAATCATAGCACTTGCTTTTTCTGGGAACCATGTTGTTGTGGGGAAATAGTCATTTTTAGCTTAACTGCCTTGTTATGTTGCCTAACAAAATATGGTATAATCAAATTACAGTATAAAATGAAGCCCACTGGTAATTACCTTTGTAACCTTCCCTTTTTTTGTATTCCCCGGGGGTTTTCCTCCCTGGTGACTCATTTATCCAACTTTCTAGAATCAGTTTCCTAATTCTAGTGTGATCTGTGGTCTCCTATAGACCAAAATTAGTCATACCCAAACTTTAAACATTTTTTTACATTTATTTTTGTCCTCTTCTATTTTTCGTCATTTTTCTGTCATAATTGACTCACCTGCCTCACTGAAACTGAAGGAACTTTTTATGGAAGAAAAAAGAATGAAAAAAATGGCCAGATTAGTGTAATACGGCTGATTTTTATCCTCTGATGATTAAGGAATCTGATATTAGGGATAAATATTTATTTTACTCTTTTTCTTAGAAAAATAGAAGTCTCTCCTTGTTTCCTTTAAAATCTCTAAGTCATAATGGAGCTTAACTGCAGTAGAAACAGGCGTATTACTTGTTACACTTGTTCACATTGTTTTAAAGTTCTGTTGTCTTGCGGTGAACATGGATATACAGTTTCAGAGTTATGTGTCTGAAGTAGTTAAGGACATTTCCCAGTGTTATTGGCCCATTTCCCTTTGTAATCAGAGAATACTGCTTCAAGATTATTGTGTGTGGTCTGTGGCCCTGGAAAAGAATGGAGTTAAATGGCCACAGGGGGATTAAGCTATGAGCTTGGCATTTTTCATACTGTTAATATGTTTTGGCTAATTGAGTTATTAGTCCTAGTCAGAGAAGAGCATTGCCTACATCACTGGTCACTTAAAGCTATTCCCCAAGGTATTTTTCATCTTAACTAGTAGTCATTTGGTATCATTCTTCCCTTTTTGGATTGATACAAATATATCACATTTACTTCTGTGATACCTCAAGGCTGATGCTTCTCTCTGTAGATTTTTGCATTAAAAATTAGCAAACAAATCTTTTTAAAAAACAGTGAGTCATTGATCAGGTTTAAGACCTAGGTAGTGCCATAAGTCTCTGTAATTACTTGTCCACTGGAGGCTGTTGAGATATGAAACCACATTTCCTTGATAGTTTCTTGTACAAATGGCTTGTTTTCACTTTTTATTCCTGCCCTCTTTGTTAAGTCATAAATCTCCCAAGAATAACCTGTCACTGTGCAGTATAGAAGATCTGATTGCCTTTAGATTAAATCTTCTTTGGCTTACAATTATCTAGATGTTTCAGAAAGAACAGGTGGATCCTCTTCAGATGAAATTACAGCAGGTGAATGGACTTGGCCAGGGGTTGATTCAGAGTGCTGGAAAAAACTGTGATGTGCAGGGTTTGGAACATGACATGGAAGAGATCAATGCTCGATGGAACACACTGAATAAAAAGGTAAATGGCGGGGGGTTGCGGTGCAGGGGATAACAAGCATACTGGGAATGGAAGACAAAGGGAAGAGACATCTAAATCTAAGGTTTTCCTGAATGTAAATGAAAATTTAGCAGTTGCAATCTGTAGTTACAGAAAGGGGTCAGTAGTAATTGAAAAAGCTCTTTCCTTATAATGAGCCTCCGTGTCTGTGATACAGGTTGCACAAAGAATTGCACAACTACAGGAGGCTTTGTTGCATTGTGGGAAGTTTCAAGATGCCTTAGAGCCGTTGCTTAGCTGGTTGGCAGACACTGAAGAGCTCATAGCCAATCAGAAACCTCCATCTGCTGAGTATAAAGTGGTGAAAGCACAGATCCAAGAACAGAAGGTAAGTGAGAATGTTGGGACAGTGAACTGTAACAGCCTTAGGGAGCGGCAGACAACACATTTGCTTATAGTTTAAGGAGCATGTTCAGGAATTTTACTAGAATCCTCACATACTTTGTATGATCCTGAAAAGACATATAGAAATTTATTTTTATCATCTTACTTTAATGTACTAGCTTACTGTGGCACAAATTAAACTGGACAGTTTTACTTGTTGATGTATTTTATTTCAGTGTTTCAGTCACAGCTTTACTTAAAAGGTTTTTGGTGTTTTCATAGTCAGCAGTATTCTAAATAATGTATACATCAGGTACACAGTTCTATCCAAGTACGGGTTTTTTGGCTTTTCATTTCAGTGCATTTTTCTCCTGGTCCAAAATAAATTATCTGTTAATCATGCAATAGCAATCACTTCTCCATTTAAAAACAAGTGTATGGCCCTGACTGGTGTGGCTCAGTTGGTTGGGCATCATACTGCAAAACGAAAGTTGCCAGTTCCACTCCTGGTCAGGGCACATGCCACACCAGTCCCCAGTTGGGGCACATACAAGAGGCCACAGATAAAGAGGCAACCAGTCAACGTTTCTCCCCCTTTTTTTCTCCCTCCCTTCCCCTCTCTCTAAAAACAAATAAATAAAATCTTTAAAAAAAAAAAAACAACCCAAAAGTATATGAAATATTTTTTGGGTGAAGGAACTATGCTGTATATCTTACGTTTCTGCCTCAAGGTGGGAAAAAAACTTCTGTTACTCAGTTAGACTTAGGATTTGGTAGGATGGAGATTTGGGATTTGGGGGGATTTTTTTTTTAATCCTTATTTCAAATTTTAAAGTGACCCCATGTTACCACTTTTCATTCTCTTTCAACATGTGTGCAATAGTTGCTCCAGCGACTCCTAGATGATCGGAAGGCCACGGTAGACATGCTTCAAGCAGAAGGAGGCAGAATAGCCCAGTCAGCTGAGCTGGCTGATAGAGAGAAAATCACTGGACAGTTGGAGAGTCTGGAAAGTAGATGGACTGGACTACTCAGCAAGGCAGCAGCCAGGTAAGGCCCAAGGGGTTTTGAGAATGGGTCAGAGAAGGTTTGTTGTGTCCTGTTTTTGACCTGCTTTCCCTGAGGTGCTCTAAAAACTCCTGGATGCTTTGTACAGTGCTTTGGAGGGTGTTTAATGGTTTTTATCTTGAAGAGGGATACATTCTTAGAGATGATCCTCATAATCAGAATAGCTCCCCAGAAATGATCCTCAGCTCCTCCATAAATTTCTGAGAACTGGAAAATTCAATGCTCTGTGTTATTCTGCTGCAAAATACTTGTGGTTCCAAACGACAAGACACAGACTCCTACAATCCAGCCAGTTATTTTTCTGAGTGTTTGAAACAGACATTTTTCCCTTCATATTTATAAATAATGTTTTTGATACTTGGGATTGAAAGTTATACTTCATTTCTGTCCTTATTCTAATATTAGGTATTTTTGCATCAAGGAGCTAGTCTCTGGTTCTGTTACATGTTTCTGCATTCCAGAAATACACAAACTTTATTTTCTTCAATAGATGGCCAAGAGACAAGTGGTATACTTCTCTCTTCCAAGGCAGTGCTTTCTTTTTCCATATCTATGTTACCCCAACACCACTTGAGCTTAATAAGTCACACGGATATCTTTACTTTTAGCCTACATTGTCCCCAGTTTTAATAATAAATGCTAGCTCATCAGAAATCAGTATGAGAGTAGTAGAGTTGATCATTTATTAGGTAGCCAGTGGCAGTCTTCAGATAACTTCCTCTTTAGTCTCTTTACTTCCACTTGCTCATGGCTTACGTATTTCTTATCTGAGTTGCAAAGTTCAACCTATTTTTCACTGCTTTTCTTCTCTCTCTGTCCATTTCCAATAATATTGCCATTAACCTTCTAATTACCTAGGCTTAAAACCTCAGTGCCATTGTTACCCTTCCCTCCCACCCCAACTTTGTGTCTCACATCTACTAGGATGCTAAATTCTATACACTTTACTTTTACAGTGTCTTCCCACTCACATACCTCAGTTCACAACTTAAGAGTTCTCACATGGGCTAGTTCACAGGAGAAAGCTCATCTGAGGTAGCTTTCTAACTAATCACTCATCACTCATCACTCTACTGGCACTTACCCTCGGGCCTTCGCTGCTTTGCATGCTCAAAGACCATTTAATGACTCCCTGTTGCCTATAAATAAAATCTAAGCTATTTAACCACATTCAAAGCTTTCTGCTCTTTGGCCTTAACCTACCTTTCTTAGTTTCCACTATTCTTCTCAGTCCTTATGTTATAAAAGAACATCATTTTTTGTTCTTCAGTATCTTGTGTCAGTTTTCCTAATTCTGTCTTTGCTGGTGGTGTTGCATCGTCCATGAAATACTCTTGACCATCTTCCCTTCTTCTATGAAGCTTATCTTTATTCCCCAAGCATAGAATAACCTCACCTCCCTCCTAACTGCCATAACTCGGTAACAATACCTTGTACTATGGTCATTACTTAATGTAGTACTAATCTCCTAGGTCCATAAGCTCCCTAAAGTCATGATTTGTTTCTAATGTATCTTTTTATGACTTACCTTCTTCTACCCTACCCAGTCCATCCTCCTAGCCTAACACAGTTTCTAGGCCATTATGTTAAAGAAAAATGCCAAGAGCAGCTTCATTTGTTACAGATATTCTGAAGACTTTTGTTTAAATTTTTAATACTGGATTTTTGCTGCCTCTAAATTATTTTAGCTACCGTATTTTGCCACGTATAATGTGCACCCATGTTTTTGTCCCTTTCAGGGAAAAAATCTTCCGTTTTAATTTTTAATTCAATCAACCAAGTATTTATTTATTTATATTTAGATACTTGTTTTTTGTATTATAAAGGAATGTTAGCATTTATTTTTGAACATATTATGGTACAAGAAATTTTATGTAGCAAATAATTACAAAACACAAGAAGAGGTACAAGATATTTCAAGTGCTCAACATGTATAATGCTCATCTTTTTTTTTTTCTCAAAAATTTGGGCAAAATAGTGCATATTTTGCATTATACATGGCAAATACAGTATTCGCTTTGCCTACCCCCAAACCTGTATACAACTGAGTTCTTCAGACTTTCAAATTCCAAAATTGGAGATGAGTCAGAAAAACATAGAAATTAGGGGTGATTTTTTTTTTATGAAATTCTAGTTTAGTATTAAACTTTAAAATAATATGTTTAGGTATATTAATTAAAGATATATTTTGACGCCTGGCTTAATGAAACTAAGGAAGGAAATGCTGTACATTGACACTTAAAGATAGCATCTAAAAATATTTTCCTTTATATTCAAAAATAATTGAATTCCCAGATAACTAAAATGACAAATCTTTATATTTAGATCATTTCTTATTAAAATAAGTGTGTCCAGGCCCTGGCCAGGTAGCCTAGTTGGTTAGAACATTGTCCTGATACACCAAGGTGACGGGTTCCATCTCTGGTCAGGGCACGTGCAAAAAGAAACGAATGCATGCATAAATAAGTAGAACAACAAATCTCTCTCTCCTCTACCTCTACTGTCTCTTTCCTTCCCTCTCTCCCTCCCTTTCTTTTTCTCTAAGAACCAATTTTTTAAAAAGTTTGTCCAGAGGGCCTGGCACAAAGCAGAGCTGTTCAATAAAGGTATGCTGAACTAAAGTGCATTCTATACTCCTGGGCCTTTTCAAATGACCTAGTATATAGTCTGTTCTTAATGATTCAAAGTCATTATCATGACCATTATTATTAATCTGTGTACTAATAGTGTTCTGTGGTGGTTTTTCTTATTAGACTGCCTTCAACATTCAGGGTTCCGCTCTTCTTTGTAATTTGCTGTATTTAATCTATAGGGAACTTGAAATCCAAGCTTAGTGTGGATGTTATATTAAGCCATAAAGTCTATAGTTCTCCTATTTGTGTTGGCAGATTGAGCTCTAGTCTGGGGGCGGGGGGGGGGGGGGGGGTGTTGTTTGTTTTATTTTTTCCTTAAATTTGGATTCAAAGTTATGTTCTGGGGCTTGAAATTACTAGAAGCCTGCCCTGGTTGGTGTGGCTTAGTGGATTGAGTGCCAGCCTGCAAACCAAAGGGTCACCAGTTTGATTCCTGCTCAGGGCACATGCCTGGGTTTTGGGCCAGACCCCCAGTGGGGGAAGCTCAGGAGGCAATCACACATTGATATTTATCTCCTCCTCTTCCTCCCTCCCTTCTCCTCTCTAAAAATAAATAGATAAAATCTTTTTAAAAAAGAAAAAAGGAAGAAATTACTAGAAGCCTTATTGGATTTAGAGAATGGGAAGAGAGTTTTATTTCCTAGTTTGTCAGTTCTTTTCAAATGTTCTCTTCATTTACAACTGAAGGTAGTAGTGACAGAGGGAAAAAAAAATGAGGACTGATGATTTTTCAATACCTTTAAACTTTATTTTGGTCTCATGTTCAGAAGATGCATGAGCTACATTCTGTAGGAGAAAAAGTCTTAGAAGGTCTGATCCTTATCCTCATTGTACTATTTCTTTTGGCCTTTAAGTTCAGTTATCTCTTTTGTAATAGTGGGATAATTATTCTGCCTACACTACGAGGTTATAACAAAATCAAAATAATGTAACGCTCATGAAAACCTCTAAAACAGCAAGGCGTTATATATATGTGTTCTGTTTACTATTGATACTTAAAATGTACCTGGTAAATATTGGTCTTTTGCTGAATATAGTACTGTTAACCATCTTAATGTGACTTTTTGCCTTAACAGCTTGTTCTATATATTTGTGTAGGCAAAAACAGCTGGAAGATATCCTGGTTCTGGCTAAACAATTCCATGAGACAGCTGAGCCTATTTCTGACTTCTTATCTGTCACAGAGAAAAAGCTTGCTAACTCAGAACCTGTTGGCACTCAGACTGCCAAAATACAACAGCAGATCATTCGGCACAAGGTAGGAAGTACTTACGGTAAATGAAAACAAAGAAATGGAATCAGAAATCCTGGGAATTAGAAAACTGCCTGCAACATGCTAAAAGATGTGTTTTGTGGGGTTTTGTAAAGTTTAAAACATGGTCAAATTATTAATTGGATAGTCACATCTTTGATAGATATGGACTAATAGGCTACCATCAGAAAAAAAAATACTCGTGTTATTTTTGCCCTTTAGTAGGTAAACTTTTTGTATTATTATTTAATTTATTACATCACTTGTTATTCATTGTTTCATGTTTACTTTTCATTTATTTTGTTTCTGTTATTCATTGTTTCCATCTGGATTTCCAGGCCCTGGAGGAGGAAATAGAAAGCCATGCAGCAGATGTGCACCAGGCAGTCAAAATTGGGCAGTCCCTCTCCTCCCTGACATGCTCTGCAGAACAGGGTGTGCTCTCAGAAAAGCTAGACTCATTGCAGTCCCGATACAGTGAGATTCAAGACCGGTGCTGTCGGAAAGCAGCCCTGCTTGAACAAGCACTGTTTAATGCTAGACTGTTCGGGGAGGATGAGGTGGAGGTGCTCAACTGGCTGGCTGAGGTTGAGGACAAGCTCAGTTCAGTGTTCGTAAAGGATTACAGACAGGATGTCCTGCAGAAACAGCATGCTGACCACCTGGTATTCATGTTTTCCATTTTTACTGGTTATGTTGCTAGTTATTTTGTAATTTCGATTCATATTTCTCTTCATTTCTTTTTTATTCCTAACATTTCAACTTTATACATAAGTGCATACTTACAGACTTGTTACAAAGAACTAACCTATTTTCTGATAAATCTATGGAAATACTGGTACTTAACAAACTGAATCAAAGATGATCCAGAGTGTAGTCAGAGGCCGTCTCAATTCCAACTCAGGTTTTACATTATTAGGTAATATACCACTCAGTATCCATCTGAACAGAAGCTTTCATAAGACCAGATTACTGAAATAATTTCCAGGGTTTGATCATACAGCTGTAACTTTTAAAATATTTCTAGAATTTATCAAATTCCAGAAATTCTGCATCATCTTAGAATAATTTGTGTTTTCATGTAATCAAATGAAATTCATTAAATTTCATTTTATGCAATTTATTTTGGGATGGTAAAAATAGGCAAAGCAGGGCAGTTTTTGGTAATCTAAATTTGTTCTGCTTCAATGATTTCAGATATTTAGAGTTTTTAACCAGGATTTAAATCTGTTTGTTTCTTTTTGACTTTCTTCTTTTGAAATTTCTGTCTTATTCTTTGTTTTGGACATAGACATTTTTGCTGAAATCTACTCTGCCTTTCTTGGGTTCAGGTTTGGTACCAATAAATTGGTAAAATTGATTTAATCCTAAAACTTCTCATCCAGTACAAAGGAAAGCTTGTCTATGAGTATCTGATTTAATTATTTTGAGTAATTAAAGGTGTAACCAAAGAGATAATGAAGGAATCAAATATCTGATGTTTAAACTAAACTGGTATTCATCTCTCTACTTTAAATTTCACCTCTTACGGGTCTCATTTCTTTTCCTTTGTCATGCCATAGTTTTAGGATTAATGGTATTCTTTTCTTACAGGCTTTAAATGAAGAAATTGTTAATAGAAAGAAGAATGTAGATCAAGCTATTAAAAACGGTCAGGCTCTTCTAAAACAAACCACAGGTACTTTGAAAAGTGCATCTCTTAGCACCACTATACATACACAGACAATCACGTATCCAGGGAAGTAAGCACCCTGTGTTAGCCACTTCTCTTTGGATATAAAAACTTAGTATTCACTGATTATATTACCATGCCTCCCTGTCTCCCCCCATCCCCCACAAACAGCCTAGGTCCTATTTCCTGCTAAACCTTTTGAAAATTGAAAGACTATGTTGTCTCACATCTGGCTACAGATGATGACTCCCCCTGCCCTCCAATATGTTGAATGTCAGCATTCACTGAAAGGGGACATCTAGAAACACCTGTAGTTGAACTCATCTTAATAATCTGAGAAGTGGCTTTTTTTATTGATTAAAAGGTTTATTTCCCTCCTTCCTTAGTGTGGGATGCTAGGTGAAATTACTATCTTAGGGTGAGAGCATCTATAAAATGTAAGCTCTGATTTAAAGAAAGGAGGGTTAAGGGACTACCTCATCCCCAAAAGGGGACTCCCTCATGTTCTCATGAATATGAATAATTGTGAGCGGTCTCCCACAGGTGAAGAGGTTTTGCTTATCCAAGAAAAACTGGATGGAATAAAGACTCGCTATGCAGACATCACGGTCACTAGCTCCAAGGCCCTCAGAACTTTAGAGCAAGCCCGGCAGCTGGCTACCAAGTTCCAATCTACTTATGAGGAACTGACTGGGTGGCTGAGGGAGGTCGAGGAGGAGCTGGCAGCCAGTGGAGGACAGTCTCCCACAGGGGAGCAGATACCCCAGTTTCAGCAAAGACAGAAGGTAAGCTGTCATTTCATACTATAAAAGAAAAAAGTTTCCCTCTTAGTCAGAATCCTTAAGTTTATATTCCGAAGTTTTATCACTAACTCTCACTACCTTAAATCTAAATCAAAAACTTCTGTCTGCCTCCTTTCTTGTTTTCTCATGGACAGTAAGATTTGACATAAAGACAGACCAATTTAAAACTACTTGTTACAGTCTGAGAAAGAAGAAAAACTGAGTGTCAAATCCCTAGGGACTTTGCTTTGCATATAACATTTTAGAATTTTCTTTCATGTTTCACTTTCTGAAGAGTATTTCATGTTACGTTTGATTCTCCTGCAGGATCTAGTACAGTTCCGAATGCATAGAAGTAGGTACTTACTGAGTTAAATGCCAAAGGATAAAGCAGTTTATCATTTCTATTGAAGTAAAGAGAAGAAAGAAGCACTATTTGTTTTACACTGAGACAGTCTGGCTTAAGAGGTCTTGCAGCCCTGACTGGTGTGGCTCAGTGGGTTGGGCGTGGTCCTGCAAACCGAAAGGTCAACAGTTCAATTCCTGGTCAGGGCACATGCCAGGGTTGCAGGCCAGGTCCCCAGTTGGGCCATACAAGAGGCAGCTGATCGATGTTTCTCTTGCACATTGATGTTTCTCTCCCTCTCTTTCTCCCTCCCATCCCCTCACTCTAAAAATAAATAAATAAAATCTTTAAAAAAAAAATAGAGGAAGAAGTTTTGCAGACATTTCTGAACAGCAGCTAAGCCTAAAGCCAGGCTTGGAATGATTTAAAAAATCTAAGACAAGAAAAAAATAAGTAAAGGAAGGAGGTCAAAGCCCTGCTGGGATGTGTGGCAAAGATACCATTTTCTACCCATCATAGCTGCTAATGTGCTTAATTTAGCAGGGTCTGGCCTGAAAACTTTTTTTTTTCCTCCTTAGGAATTAAAGAAGGAGGTCATGGAGCACAGGCTGGTGTTGGACACAGTGAATGAGGTGAGCCGTGCTCTCTTAGAGCTGGTGCCTTGGAGAGCCAGAGAAGGGCTGGATAAACTTGTGTCTGATGCCAATGAGCAGTACAAGCTTGTCAGTGACACTGTTGGACAAAGGGTGGATGAAATTGATGCTGCTATTCAGAGATCACAACAGGTAATGTTTTTAAACACCTCTGCATTAATATTTTTGGCAATAGAGATATGTATGTAAGGGGGGAAAAATATGACCCACATAAATACAGGCTCAGGAATAGGAAAAACAAGATCAAGGTAAATTCAATACAACAAATTATTTCAGTGATAGGAAATGATTGAGTAAAGGTATGTGAGGATAGTTTTGGTTTGACCCAAAATACTTAACCCTTTTGAACAGAGAACTTGGGAAAGAGTCGGTGAGCCCTCTCCTTACATGCCCTGCTAAGAGGCAGGTGATGATGAGAGTAGATAATAGACCCAAAAGGTCCAAATGCTTATCTCAGTCTTAGTTTGACATAAACTGTTTTAGCATTAGATGGAAGAGGAGAATGGACCAAGAACTATAATTACTATGAAATATGCCAACCAAAATAGCAGAGCCATCCAAAATAGAACCCTCCCAGTAAACACAGGTGTCATATTTCCCTCCATGTTTTTTCCTTCCTGCTTTCTTGAAAAAAATTTTTTGCTTTTCTTTGTGGCAGACTGTGCACCTATTAATGTGCCGTGGTGTAAAAAAAATAATATAACACGACTCCTTGGGTTCATAGAGATAAATGCTTCATGAACCACGCAGAAGTTTGCTCTGACTCCAACTGCATTCCAGTCTGTTTTTATTGATATGTCTAATCTTGGCCAGATAATTGAGTATAAAAGCTACCTTGCCCGGGAGTTTTCTATGTAAATATTAGTTTAGGTTTACAGAGTTGAAGAGGAAGAGATAAAAGATTGAAGAACCCTGATCAAACAACAGTCACATAGAACATGTTCTTAGTTTTTCTATTACTGCAAAATTGTTTAAAGGTTTGGTATTCTTCTGCCATCTTACGCTTCTTCAGCTAAGTGAGTACTTCCAAGTTGACTTAGCTGTCTACTGCCATGTTTATATTTAAACATGGCTAAGACTTTTTCAGTGTATGGGTAGAAAAGAGGACTGACAGAAAGAGCACAGCCTTATAAAAACAGATTAAAAATGTATTTATTTTTAAGAGTATCAATTTCCATTGTTGTTTCTAGGTGTAGGACCACTAACTAAATTCTGTAACTTCTTTCTAAAAAAGTTGAAATAGGAGCAATTCATATTTGTTGACATTTAAGCAATTCTAAATTATCTGCATTTTGATTTGAATTCTAAGAAGGAAGACCCTGGCTATATATAATATGTTCATTTTTCTTCAATGTCTGTTAGTATGAGCAAGCTGCTGATGCAGAACTAGCTTGGGTTGCTGAAACAAAACGGAAACTGATGGCCTTGGGTCCAATTCGCCTAGAGCAGGACCAAACCACAGCTCAGCTCCAAGTACAGAAGGTACGTGTAACACTGACGTATCCATTGTGTCCTGAGGCAGAATAATCAACTTAGCTTGGAGTGCCTAGGAGAGAGTTTCTGACTACTATTCCAAGTCAAATGGAATGATGTTACGTCATGGAGGTAGATAGAGATTAATTTTATAAATTCTTGGTTAGGATAAGGAAGAGCTTTTTTACTTTGTGAAAAGGGAAGAAACAGACTCATTAACCCAGGAAAGAGTAATACTTTTCTGGATGATTTTCGTGAGGGAAGATACTTTTGTAAACTATTAAAAGATAAACATTGAAGATGTGTGGATAGGCCAAGTGTCAAACTTGGTAAGAACAGTTTTTGATGTGGCTTTATTAAAGCAAAGAATTTTTCATAGGCATGTCTGACTTTTCACTGACACAGGCTTGGAATCATTTTACTTCTTGACTTAACTGTAGTTTATTTTTCGCAAAGGCTTTCTCCATTGATATTATTCGACACAAAGATTCAATGGATGAACTCTTCAGTCATCGAGGTGAAATCTTCGGCACATGTGGAGAGGAGCAAAAAGCTGTATTACAGGTGAATTGCATTTGTTTATTCACCATGTTATTCTTGTCTTGATTATGGTGGATTAGAAGTACAGTTGTGAAATTATAGTTTAAGGAGTTGAAGTTAGTTTTTTTTCCTCCATTACTAGTAACGGGGAATTCAGGCTCCCAAACCTGTGTTCACAAATGTCTAAACAGCCATACTGCATAATGTGAAATATATTGCAAGTCCATCTTCTTTAAAAAGAGAAATTGCTACTTACCCGCAGTCCATAATGGGTGACTTTGAGGTTATTTTTCAGAACTCTGTGATAGATTTTTCAGAACCATATGCAGATACTAATTTTTTTATCAGGTCCTTCTAAAAGATCATACCCATTTCTAAGAACTTGGTTAAGAATATGTACACTAGTTTTGTTTTTTAAATGAAGTATACTGGTAACCATTATTTTCTTAGAAATATACCTAAGTTGACTACACTACTCATCCAAAACATACAGAGCATAAATGCCATGTTAGTGGACACTTTTTTCCAATTACAATTTATATTCAATATTATTTTGTATTAGTTTCAGGTATACAGTATAGTGGTTAATCATACACTTTACAAAAGTGTTTCCCCTTGATATTTTAAGTACCTACCTAGCACCACACAGTTACTACAGTATTATCGACTGTATTTTCTATGCTGTACTTTACATTCCTGTAACTATTTTGTAACTACCAGTCTGCACTTCTCAATCCCTTCACCTTTCTCATCTAGTCCCCCAACTCCCCTCCCCTCTGGCAGCCGTCAGTCTGTTTTCTGAATCTGTGAGTCTGTTCTGTATTGTTTGCATGTTTATATTGTTCTTTAGATTGCACATGTAAGTGAAATCATTTCGTATTTGTCTTTTTAAGACTGACTTACTTTACTTAGCATAATACCCTCTAGGTCCATCCATGCTGTTGCAAATGGTAAGATTTCATTCCTTTTTATGACTGAGTCATATTCCATTATATATATGTACCACAGCTTTTTATCCACTCATCTGTTGGTGGGCACTTGGGTTCCTTCCATATCTTGGCTATTGCATACATAACACTACAGTGAACATAGGGGTGCGTATATTATTTCGAGTTAGTGTTTTAGGTTTCTTCAGATAAATTTACAGAAGTGGAATTGCTGTGTCATAAGACAGTTCCATTTTTTCATTTTTTGAAGAACTGTCCATACTGTTTGTGGAGAGTTTTTTACCAGGAAAAAAAAAAGAGACAAGTGAAATTTGATGGGGAAACATTCCATCATAGCCCCTGAGATGTTCAGTCTTAAACTCATCTATTAAATAATGCTGTATCTGAAGTTGTAAAGGGCTATTCACTTTGCTGTGTTGTGTGTGTGCTGTTTAACTGTATTTGAAACTTTCATATTTTAAAAATTGTACAAATAATACATGTGTGATAGGAAAGTTTTTAAATTCCAGTAAGTATAAAGAAAATAAAAATCATTTGCAATCTTAATAGGCTAGTTCGTATTTTTAACATTTTAGTATTTATTCCTTTAGATTTTTTTAATGTGTCTACACCTACTCTTTCTGTTGTTCATAGGAAAAGACAGAGTCTCTAATAGAGCAATATGAAGCCATTAGTCTGCTCAATTCAGAGCGTTATGCCCGCCTAGAGCGGGCACAGGTCTTGGTGAACCAGTTCTGGGAAACTTATGAAGAGCTCAGCCCCTGGATTGAGGAAACTCGGACACTAATAGCACAGTTACCTCCTCCAGCTATTGATCATGAACAGCTCAGGCAACAGCAAGAGGAAATGAGGGTAAGGAGCATGCCAAGTTTTATTTAATTGCAGAACTAAAATGGGCTCCACAATTTATTCTAATTCTGTATTATGAAATTCTTAATCAGTTACAATTTCTTTGCACAATAAAAATAGATACCTTAATTATTTCCTTTGTCCTTTTATATGAATCAAGTAAAGAATATGTTTATGAAGATATCAGGAACTTGGGTATTGCAGAAGTAAACAAAGAACTAAGTAATAAACATCAAGGGAATTTAACATCTTTCCAATGACAATGGGGTGGTGTTAGACTTGGCGTGTAGTTGGGTGGCTCTTTTCATTTGGTTAGACCCCAACTGGAATGAGAGCCAGGAAGGAAATGTCAGAAAGCATTTGCTGCATTGTAGGTAAGATGAAAGAGAGATTTGTTAGACATGTCAACAAGTGCTATAACCACTTTAAAAAGATACTTTTTTAATGTTTATTTTATTGGTTTATGGCTTGTGCTTATTCCTATCTCTGTATTTCCTGTAAGTGGAAGGATGAAACCAGAAGTAGCCAGCAGTAAAGTCAGGGACTAGTTGAATTACCAGAAATGTTATTTGTAGCTTGTTCTGTTTAGTGTCTCTCAGTCTTGGGAAGGCGGAGGCCGGATACTAAACCATGTAAATTACGATGAGTACATTGAAGTATTTATGAGTATAGGAGATGGTGGGACAAATTTGTATTGGAGAGTAAGAGAGAGTATGTGGCCTGGGAAGGCTTCCTGGGTGACAGGATATCTGAACTGGCTTTTAACAATTAAGTGAGAATTAGGTAGTGTCAGAGCCCAAGACTTAGGTGGGTTTTTTCCCCCCTCAATAAATGATGAAATGCTGAGACTTACTGGTATTTAGTAATTCAGTTTGACTTTCTCAAAGTTGGTATGATCTTTGACCAAAGTATTTAAGCAGATAAACTGGTATAAAAAATGCTTATTTTATCTTTATTTCTTTACCATATTTCTTTATATAGCAACTAAGGGAATCCATTGCTGAACACAAACCTCATATTGATAAACTGCTAAAGATCGGCCCTCAACTAAAGGAGTTAAACCCTGAAGAGGGTGAAATGGTGGAAGAAAAATACCAGAAAGCAGAAAACACATATGCCCAAATTAAAGAGGAGGTGCGCCAGCGGGCTCTGGCTCTGGACGAGGCTGTTTCCCAGTCAGCTCAGGTACATGAATGTCTTAAACTCACATAACTTTCAACTGTCCTTTAGTCTAAGCAAGAAGTTTTTGTATCAGGTACACCTCCATGCTCAGGAGTGTCTAGACCAGCATGCTGATGATTCATTATCAGAGATTAGGAACCTTTGCTGATCTGCATTTTTATTGCAAGGATCATGGGTATGCTGGCACTATTCCGAGGGTAAAATGTGTCTTAGTTGGTACATATTGTTTGTTGATAGTTCCCTTTAAAATTTTATATTGTGACAGTCCTTTAACAGGGTTAGTTCTGGATAAATTGACCTTGAAGAAACAAATACCTAAAGAAAAGTCAGATTCCTCCTGAACATGTCACTTTTGAGACTTAGAAGAGAGCACATTTAGACTTCTTACTCAGAAGGCCACCACCTAGTTCATGGTTCAAAGAAAAATGCTTAAGGAAAGAGAAGTTAAGAGCCAAAGAGAAATAATCCACCAGTAGCAGAGTTTAAAGCATGTAACTACATACTTTTCAACTAATATATACTGTTAGTGGCACTTTTGTCATGTCTGGGTATTTTATTCCTATGTTTAGTCAATATTCTTGGTTAATATTTGTACTTACTCAAGTTTTCCCCCCACCTTCCGTCCCATCTCTCACTCACATTGTGGAATGTGTTACTTTATGTTGTTGCTGCCTGCTCCTGTCTTCCCCACATCGTCACATTTCATTGTTGTGTTGACCGCGCCCACCATTACAGATTACAGAGGTAAGGTACCCACCCCCATTGGGATTAGGGTATTTTTATGAAGCTGAGAATTGAGGGTTACCTATCAGAAAATTTCCCTGTACTTCAGCGGAATGAATTTCATCAGTGCGATTTATTATGCCAGTTTCATTTGGGGTGGAACCTAGAAGTGAGGGAGTAATGGGAAGAGGGAGTTAAGGAAATTCCACCATGTCTTTCCTCTAAGACAGTTAAAATTGATAAGACTTATTCTAATTAATAAATCCAGAGTTGGTTTTAGAGAGCTTTTTTTTAGGGAGGCAAGGTTACCTGTTTTGCTCCTGTTTCTCCTCTCTCTGCTTCAGATTGTAAGTGAAATTTTACAATTGTAGTCATATTATTCAAAGTATCAGAAAAGTGGAAAGGTAATTGTTCTTTTAGAATAAGGTTAGACTTGGCCTCCCTTATTACCTTTCATCGTGCCAACACTTGCCTCTCTCACTGTTACATACAGTGGTTATCAAATTGCATGCTATGATAATTTTAAACTCCAAGTCATTTAGCATACTGAGTTCCCCGTTCATTTGCATAATTGGTGGAGGGCATCTAACTTGTTGGTCTAATCTGTTGCATGCAACTATCATCTGAGATGTTGACACAGTGAGTCTCTCTAGTTTCATAGTGTTGTCCCTTTCTCGTCACATTGCTGGTATATTACTTAATGTTTTCTTGATTCTTAAAATAAATATTTATTTTCTTTTTCTGATGGGCCAGCTCTGGTATATTATGCCCAAAACAGTTCCTTAGCCAAACCCAACAGCCATCAGGTTAGGGCTATTTACAGGTTATCCTAAACAGTAGTGGATTTATACCTTGCCCTTATTCCCTAATATTTCCCCCAGAAGTGTGACAAAGTATTGCTGTGATAGCTAATGGTCTGACATTTATTTAGTTCCATGATAAAATCGAACCTATGTTGGAGACTCTGGAAAATCTTTCCTCTCGTCTGCGTATGCCACCACTGATCCCTGCTGAAGTCGACAAGATCAGAGAGTGTATCAGTGACAATAAGAGTGCCACTGTGGAGCTAGAAAAACTTCAGCCTTCCTTTGAGGCCCTGAAGCGCCGTGGAGAAGAGCTCATTGGGCGCTCTAAGGGAGCTGACAAGGACCTGGCTGCAAAAGGTGCTTGATTAATCTAATTATTTTTGAAGAGAACCAATAGAAAAAATTCTAGGCTATGGTTACTTCCAGCATCCCACCAGATGCACTTCATTGAATGTGAAGGCAGTCCTCCAAGTAATGAATATTCCAGAAAGTCATTTGGAAGTTATTTAGAATTCAGAACACATCTCCCTATTGAAACAAGGTTACAATTGGTAGTTAAGATTCCCAGGCCAGGAAACAAATGCTCCTTTAACCCCTAATGTGAGTGAGCTGCAGTCTCAGTAGTGTGTAGAACATAGCTACCTTTTATAACACTTTCCATGGGAAACAGCAAGTTCAACACAGAACACTGGAAATAGAGTTTTCATCTCAGTCCCTTTATAAGTTAGGGGTTTTGTATCTGAGCAGTACCTTTATATTAGATGGTAACTCATTCCCAGATTACCTCTATGATCTCTTTATGTGGGAAATGTAAATGTAGAAATAATAATAAAGCTAAGATATATATAAAAATTCTTAGAACTTTTTAAAATATAATTTCAGTGAAAATATGAGAATTATATGGTATTTCTGATGAGGCTTATTTCAAGTACTTAGAGAAGTCCTATTTGTATCTCTTTTTTACCCTCTCAGAAATCCAGGACAAATTGGATCAAATGGTATTCTTCTGGGAGGACATCAAAGCTCGGGCTGAAGAGCGAGAAATTAAGTTCCTTGATGTCCTTGAACTAGCAGAGAAGTTTTGGTATGACATGGCAGCTCTCCTTACCACGATCAAAGACACACAGGACATTGTCCATGACTTAGAAAGCCCAGGCATTGACCCGTCCATTATCAAACAACAGGTTGAAGCTGCTGAGGTAAGGGGAAAAAAAAAACCCCTTCTCTTTTGTATTTGCTATCTGAAAAACTACTTTTTCCAAGCATATTGTGTTAACTGCTTAACCAGGCTAAGTGCCTTAAAAGGTGGTTGTGTTTGTTTTAATCTTTAAGAGGATATTTTCCATTTGAAAAAAATACCTGCTCATTATAGGAGGTTTCTTTCTTTGTTATAAATACAAGTTTTACCACTTAATAGATTTATATAACTTCTACCAACTGTGATATAGAACAGTTCTGTCATACAAAACTAATTTTCTCATCAAACTTAGCCATTTAAATTAATAGAGTATGCTTAGAAAATTCAGTTTTACTTTCATTTCTGAATTTAGTCTTCACTATAGTATACACTTTTTTGTTTCTCAAGTAAATTTCTTTAATTCAGAAAAATAGAAGGTAGAAAAGAAAATAAATTCTACATTCATCATCCAAAGATAACAATTGTTACATTGACATACCTTTTTACAGCCTTTCGGGGGAGCCTAGTTTTTAGTTTTATTAAATGCATTTCTCTCCTCATTTTGTGCACTTAGTATAAGCCAAGCTTGTTTTGATACTCTGTCTTTTACTTTTGTTTTAGCCATTCTCTCTCTTTCCACCCCCGTCCTTTTTAGGATCTACCAAAGAACTGACTTTGTTCAAGATTATGTAGTCTAGCATTCCTATAGCTAGGCTCTCAGCTCTTAACTTTGTGACTTGTGCTGTATTATTTTCCCCTTGTTGATAAACTTCTCTGTAATAGACTTCCGGCTACAGATTATAATTTGCTTGGAGGCAGAAGGGATGAACCTTTGGTAAATTACTGAAGCTCATTGGATCTTTCTCAGACTATTTTATACATATTTTTCTATATAGTTTATATGTGTGTATGTATAGTTACATATAAACATATTTGGTACATATATTTTTGTATACATACATATGAAGAATAACCAGAGTCTGAAGCTTCACTATTTAGATAAGTGAAATATTGATAACATTGAAAGGTTTTTTTGTGAAATTGACATGTTCTGTTCACCACCTGCTATTGATGGGGATATAATTGCATTTGCAAAGTTTGGGAAGTTCTGTTCTGCTTCTATTTTGGCTTATAATCTGTTCATTTACACATAGACTATTAAGGAAGAGACAGATGGTCTGCATGAGGAATTGGAGTTTATTCGAATCCTTGGAGCAGATTTGATTTTTGCCTGTGGAGAAACTGAGAAGCCCGAAGTGAAGAAGAGCATTGATGAGGTGTGGAGAAATGGATGAGTTAGACAAAACATTAGTGGGCTTGGATTGGAACAATGGTATTAATTGAAGAATCTGATTGACTGTTTTCCTCTAGATGAATAATGCCTGGGAGAACTTAAACAAAACATGGAAAGAGAGGCTAGAAAAGCTTGAAGAAGCCATGCAAGCTGCTGTGCAGTATCAGGACACCCTGCAGGTAAGCCAGGACGTGACCACCGTGGCCATACAGGGTCTGCACTGTCATTCACGTTCAGAATCCAGCGTAAGAGGGACCACCTTTACAGGAACACAGCATTGTCAAACCTAAGACAATAACCTCTTTCTGTCTTTCTAGCCAAAGGTTCCCACTTTTGGTGTGAAAAGTACTGACACCTGAATTTTTACTCTTGGTGTTTTTCATCATCATGTGTTCACCATATTTATTCTCTTGGTGACTATACAGTGAAGCTGGCCTTACTGTGAAAGTTTTTTGTTTTTTTTTTCACACTACTTGCTAGGGGTTCCACACCAGGTTTTCCTAAACTAAAGCACAACTTGGCCCAGTGTAACTTCAGCACATCTTGAGTTTGCTAGCCAGTGTTGAAGAATAGTAAGTTTTATTCATATTTAGGTTTTCCAGGTTATAGTTTATTTTGTACACTATCCCAATAATTTTTCTTTTGTTCTTAACTCCCTATATTATTGGAATAAAAATCTTTGTTCCTTACCTCTGCCTCCCCTGCCTAAGAACACAAACAGTATTTGGCATTTTGATTTGTCTCTCCGGACTCCTTGTGTTTTTCTTTTTTGACTGCTTATTTGTATTTTTATTTTAGGCTATGTTTGACTGGCTAGATAACACTGTAATTAAACTCTGCACCATGCCCCCTGTCGGCACTGACCTCAACACTGTTAAAGATCAGTTAAATGAAATGAAGGTTTGTATCTGGGAATGGTTTTTAAAGAAGGATGGCTTCTTTTTAGGTTTTAGACACTTGATTTAATGTTAACATTAAGTATGTCTTTGATAGGAGTTCAAAGTGGAAGTTTACCAGCAGCAAATTGAGATGGAGAAGCTTAATCACCAGGGTGAACTGATGTTAAAGAAAGCTACTGATGAAACAGACAGAGACATTATACGAGAACCATTGACAGAACTCAAACACCTCTGGGAGAACCTGGGTGAAAAAATTGCCCACAGGCAGGTAAGGCAAATAGCGGAGTGCATAAATGGACTACTATCTACTGTTTGTTTTTGTCCTAACAGTTGTTTCCTTTATATCTTTTTATGAGTAGCATAAGCTAGAAGGTGCTCTCTTGGCCCTTGGCCAGTTCCAACATGCCTTAGAAGAACTAATGAGTTGGCTGATTCACACTGAAGAGTTGTTAAATGCTCAGAGACCAATAAGTGGAGATCCAAAAGTCATTGAAATTGAGCTCGCAAAGCACCATGTAAGTATTTTTGTATTTCATCTCCACAAGTGTATTGGCTTCAGACTAAACATTACCACCAGAAGCCTTTCAATGTTATATGAACCTTAGAGAACCAGGTTTGATGTTATCTGTGATACAAAGTGTTGTTTAACACTTTTTAGGTTCTAAAAAATGATGTTTTGGCCCATCAAGCCACAGTGGAAACGGTCAACAAAGCTGGCAATGAACTTCTTGAATCTAGTGCTGGAGATGATGCCAGCAGCTTAAGGAGTCGTTTGGAAACTATGAACCAATGCTGGGAGTCAGTGTTACAGAAAACAGAGGAGAGAGAGCAACAGCTTCAGTCAACACTGCAGCAGGTACGTGCACCATCCAAGGTAGGCAGGTGGAGCTGTGCACGTATTCAGAAGGAAGCCCCTCTAAGTCAAGGAAAGGAAAGCAAATTAAGATAGAGCCCCCTGTGTCTTGTGAGGAAGGTTATTTCTGTGCTGGAACTTGCCTGGAAAGAACAGCTTCTGATTCAGTGGTCTTTTTTTTTTTTTGAACTAGTTTGTAACCCAATCTCTTTATTTACTACTCAAAGTAAATAGATCTTTGCAGTAACAAATCTCTTCACAGATATAGTTATTTCTTAGATCAAATCAGCTCCGTCCATATTCATATTCAACAGTACCTCAGTCAATTAATTCATTAATTCCATGAGACATTTGTAATACTGGGGTGGGCAAAAGTAGGTTTTTGGTTGTTCGTATGGAAATACAATAACTAATAAGTAATAATACAAGAATAAACTGTTTCATGTGCTCACAACTGTATGTTACAGCGAGGCCTGAAGGATTCTGCGAAATTCTAAAAATAAATATGTTGGCCCCATTCCGATCCAGCAACAGAAGAGCTCTGCCTGAGAGCAGACCAAAATTCCTCCCTCAAGACAGATTCCTCATATGGTTATTCCAAAAGTTTACTTTTGAAGCTAGAATTGACTCCTGACCTTACTAATGTGTCTTTTCTCAAAAGGCCCAAGGTTTCCACAGTGAAATTGAAGATTTTCTCTTGGAACTGACCAAAATGGAGACCCAACTTTCTGCATCTAAGCCCACAGGAGGACTTCCTGAAACTGCTAGGGAACAGCTTGATACACATATGGTAAGAGATATCCTGAAATTGAGTATAAGTGTCCCACGTTCAGTAGCTCCTTTCTGAATTCACGGAGAGATACGTATCTGGATGTCTACAAAGTAGTGCCTTTTTACTGACAACATAGTGTTACCTTGAAGTTACCTTGAGGTAACACTATGAGGATTGCTGATTTTTTTTTATAAGTATGTATATAAAGGATACACACATACACACACACACACACACACACAGGTAGACTACATGTAAAGGATATTTTTATATATATAAGTGTGTGTGTGTATGTGTGTATATATATAAAAGCCTATATATATAGTCTTTTAATAACCTTCCACAGACAGCAGTAGTAACAGGGACAGGGGAATCAGCTAGAGATAAATTGGTGAGCTGGCTAATTTTGAGTTGGTCAATAAGCATCAAGAATGCAAATATATAACATAGATGTGGTTGTATTTAAGAAAAAGGCCCCTTCGGTGGGATTTAGAGAAACCCAACAGATAGTATTTAATACTTTTTGAAGAAAGTGTCTGAGAACTAAAGGCATACTTTCTGGGCAAATTATTCAAAGAAAGGAAACAAAGTATTGGGGTCTATTTTAGGTTGCTTGCAGGGCTGTTCTTGCCACGTAGTTTGACTGTGTCCTAGACAAACGAGGTGCTTGTGTGTTCCCACAAATCTCTAATCCTTAAAAATAATTGTTTGGTTACAGAATTACTTTAATATTGAGCAAAAATGGTGGGTTTCAGTCCCATAGTTGCTCAGTAGTAAAACTGACTCCAAAAGGGTTTTAATCAAGGTGAGACCTTCCTGGACTTCTCCAAATTGTGCTTGTAAATCTGTGTGTGGGTGTCTTTCACAAAATTGGCAGTATTAATATTTTTCCTGCATTTTCTTGTAGGAACTCTATTCCCAACTCAAAGCCAAGGAAGAGACTTATAATCAGCTACTTGACAAGGGCAGACTGATGCTTCTGAGCCGTGATGATTCTGGGTCCGGCTCAAAGACGGAGCAGAGCGTGGCCCTCCTGGAGCAGAAGTGGCATGTGGTCAGCAGTAAGATGGAGGAAAGAAAGGTACCGCCATACAGTACAGGGTGTGATTATGTACATGGTGTGCTTGTGGGATCTGAGGAATGTGAGTGCTCATGGTGTGTCATTACCACCTGTTCCTGTGAAGAAGTTGCAGGACTGACATCCTCAGAATTGCCTTTACACTGCCATTAAGCTTCTGTTTTATCTTTTCTGCCATTAAGCTTCTGTTTTCCATCTACGTCAAGTTGCATTGATGCTACTGGTTTCTGCCAATATAGGCTTTTATTATTCATTATTCATTCCTTTTCTGCATCTGCCAGTTAAGACATTACTGCCTGATACTGCTCAGTGGTAGACCATATATCCATTATTACTCAAATTTGTGTTCCTACTTAAAAACAAGGTTATGTTGGAGTTGGTGACTTGGGATTGGGAAGGTGAGGGCATTCCGGGAGTGTGACAACTAAGGCCACACAAGGATACTAGTGTAAGTACAATATGCAGAAAAATTGTACTAAAAATCAAGAGAGAAATAAATTATATGACCCCTTCTCACTCTTCCTCAAAAATCAAATTGTCTGCAAAAGAAAAGTAATTAGGGATCAAGTCCCCCAAAACACTAGTTGTTAGGAGTACTGAGTTTCAGAGCGTTTCTCTGCACAGAGGTTCTGTGCTGGGCAGATCAAATAAAATGTGTGTTTAAACCTGTCAGCCACATCCATTCAACAAATAGTTATTAAGCATGTATGTGCCAGGCACTGTGCTAAGTATATAGTGGATATTATAAAAAGCCTGGGTCCTATCAGATTTAGCGGGCAGAGGACTTAAAATAAATATTTACACATAATTGAACAATTTACAGAAGAATTAATTTTCTAGAATTCTTCTAATGTGGGGTCTGGTAATTTTGTTACACAAGGACTGTCCAGAGGACCTGAATTTATGGTTGTGTTCTAATTCTTGGACAGCCTATTGCCTATAATTCCTGCAGAATGCAGAACTAAGTCTACTTAAAGTAACTGATGCAGATTCTGACTCATAATCACGTTTCTAAAGGGTTTTCCCAGCAATGGAGCAGGTTGCCAGAACTATTTAACCTATCATGAATGGAACTGGTCAAGCAAAGGCTAGTTGTCAAGGGTAGTTATTTCTAATTTTGCAAGAACATTACATTTCAGGATCACTCATTTATTAAGTTTGTGTGTGGTGCTATATTAAAGAATATATCAATAAAACAATGTGGGAGATTTCCTGCCATCTAGGAACTTGGCAATATATTAATTTCTTATATATTTTATGTAGGTTTTATTTTTCTACTTGCTTTTTCTAGATTGGGCCTGTACATTTTTGTAACAGTATAGTGGGTTTTTTAGGTTACAAAAGTAATATATATATCTATGAATATTTCAGATGTATTCATTTTTAACAATCTGTCGTCATTCTACTTTGCCTGGTAGATGGACCAGGGGCAGAGGCCTTCAGCTAGGCGCTGGGGACAGAAGTCTCTGTGGATGGGCCTTTTGGACTGTGCAGTTGGGCTGTGTGTTCTCATGGACAGTTGCACATGTCCTGACTGAACCATTGTTTTTGTCACCTGATTTAGATAAAAAGCATCTAAAAATTTACATCTAGGGTTGTTAGAATATTATGGCTTTTATTACCTTTTCTGCTTATAGCATACGTTTCAGACTCAGACATTTTTAGGTGCCATATCTTCCTGAAAACATTTAAACTGAGGCACTGCAGTGAGCATCATCTTTAAAGTGCTTTTCATTGGTCGTTTTTATGCCACAAAAAGTACTGTAAAGGAAAATGAGACTTTACCCAGAGCAGGTTGGAGATCCAAAGCTGTCACCACTAAGCTGTTCACTTAGATTGTGTCTGGTTTTACTCCTGTTCCTTAATGCTCCCAGAAGGGGGGATAGCAAAGAAGGCAGCTCAGCTGCAAACTGTGCTCTTTCCTTTTTAATATACAGTTGTTTCAGACACTAACATTAAAATGTCCCCTTCTTTGCAAACAAGGCATGTTTGGAGGTTAGTTAAATGATGCTTCCTTTTTAGAGATCATTTCTTTTGGTGTACAATTCATGCCTTTGTTCTCAAAGTTATAATTCCTTAATTTGGCGCTTTTTCTTTGTCTGTATGTGTTTTAATTAAAATTCAGTCAAAGCTGGAAGAGGCCCTCAACCTGGCAACAGAATTCCAAAATTCCCTGCAAGAATTTATCAACTGGCTCACGCTAGCAGAGCAGAATTTAAACATCGCCTCTCCTCCCAGCCTGATTCTAAACACTGTCCTTTCCCAGATAGAAGAACACAAGGTAACTATGACACTATAATGTTGCCTTCCTTTTGAAAGGACTAGTTGAAAGAGATGCTATGTTGTCTTCTCTTCAGTTCAAACACAACAATATTTTCCCCCCAGGTTTTTGCTAATGAAGTGAATGCTCATCGAGACCAGATCATTGAGCTGGATCAAACCGGGAATCAGTTGAAGTTCCTTAGCCAAAAACAGGACGTTGTTCTGATCAAGAATTTGTTGGTTAGTGTCCAGTCTCGATGGGAGAAGGTTGTTCAGCGATCTGTTGAAAGAGGGCGATCGCTAGATGATGCCAGGAAGAGGGCAAAACAAGTAAGTTACTAAAGAATGTTACTAATTTACTAAACAACCTTGGGTAGCAAGTGTTGGGTCTCTGGGTCGGTTCACATATAAGTTTTGTATAGTTTGCCTGTTCTTGCCTATTATAACTTATATCTTACATAATTGTAGTTCCATGAAGCTTGGAAAAAACTAATTGACTGGCTAGAAGATGCAGAGAGTCACCTGGACTCAGAGCTGGAGATATCCAATGACCCAGACAAAATTAAACTTCAGCTCTCTAAACATAAGGTAAAGCAGTTTGTTGCTCGTAGGCCCTGAACTTGGTGTTCACTGAAGATTGTCTCTGGGTAAAAAAGTGAAAGTGATGAAGCCAGCATTTCACGTGATTTCTAGACAGGATCTCTAACCGTGACAATTGCTCATTTCAATAACAGTTCAAACAAAACGATTGTGGGAGTAAACCAGTTAAAACTGTAGGCTTTTGAAATTCTAGGCTTTTAGAAATAAGCACCTCTGTATATGACAGACGAAAACTTACAACTTTTTTAAGAATCTTAAGGGAAAGCTCTCACTAGTTTTAGTTCAAAAAATAGTCACAATCAAACTGTATTATATTTTATTACCAACCTAGAAACACAAAAATTTTTCCTTGCTCCAAACTAAGTTGTCATCTTTGTTCCGGACAAACTAAAGTGTCATCTTTGTTCCAAACCAAGGTGTCATCTCACAGCATTGTTTTGTTTTGTTTTGTTTCTTTTTGGGAGCAGGAGTTTCAGAAAACCCTTGGTGGCAAACAGCCTGTGTATGATACCACAATTAGAACTGGAAGAGCCCTGAAAGAAAAGACTTTGCTGTCTGATGACACTCAGAAGCTTGACAACTTACTGGGAGAAGTCAGAGACAAATGGGATACTGTGTGTGGCAAGTCTGTGGAGAGGTGAGCATGAATATCCCCTTAATGGGTCTGTATGTTTTCCCAAAACTACCTAAGAGACTACTACTGGATTCCATAAAATGGTAATAAAGCTTATACATCAGTAACAGGTTTTATAGCATTTCAGTATCTCCAGTTAGTTTGCTGAGTTATGAAAATTTTGAGCAAAATATTAAAATTCTCTCATTTTAAACTTGAACCACACTGTATTAGAAGGAGAGAAGCCCCCGTAATAGATCAGTAACTCTAAATACAGTAGTACTTCAGTACTCATTAATTCATTCTGGAACTCGTGACAAGTGCTGAAACCGGCAAGTACCAAATGATGAAGCATTTTCTCTTGTGGGGCAGCATTGTGACTCATACAAGATCTAGCCAGTGCAATGAGTCCCAAGCAAGCACCAAGTGCTGAAACATTTTTTTGTTCCATCAAAATTCAAGGAGTACAGGGTTTGACGATTTCTGAAGCCGATGAGTACCAAGGTACGACTCTATCTGTAAATTACCAACTTATAAGACCATTAGCTATATCACTGAGGGCTCTCATGGTGTTGGACACTATGCAAAGCTTCTACATATATTACCTCATTTAACCATCATGATATCTGACCTGTAGCAACGACCACTGAGTATGTGCATAACAGTGCCTACTAATCGTGCAATCCTCATAACAACCACTGAGGTGGGTACAGTTATTCCTGTCTTACATATGAGGAAATCATCATTGAGGTTTCTTAACTCCCCCATGGTCACTTAGCTACTAAGCGGCAGAACTGGGATTTAAAACTATTTTATTTGGTTCCTAAAAGTTGTACTTCTATTCACTTGTACCAACTATGCCATACTCAGTATTACAATATCTCTTGTATAATTTATACTCTCAAATTTTTGGTGAGACAACTGAGGTTGAAAGAGGTGAAGAGAGAGCCCCGGGTCTCACAACTGGTATAGAGCTCAGAGTTGAACTCTGGCTCTAGGCCATTACCAAAACCATTACCCTGTACTCCAGTGAGTGGTGTAAAGTGAACACAGACAGATCTTGGTTCTTAGGGTGTGTCCATGCGTATAACCACTTAACTCTAAGATGCTCGAAAAGCCTCTATACCTGTTTCGTATACTATGATTAACTCATTTTAAAGAGTGGTTTGATTTAAAATGTCTAGGCATCTCTCCTAGTCATTTTTTATTGCACTTCTACCATTCTAACTTGGAAGTCCCTCTCTATATAGAATTCAATTAGTATTTTTTTTCAGCAGTCAGAATTGCGGACCATTCTTAAATAATGATACCTAAAAACAGCAAGGTTTGTATACTTTTCTCAGGCAGCACAAGTTGGAGGAGGCCCTGTTATTTTCAGGCCAGTTCATGGACGCTTTGCAGGCCTTGGTCGACTGGTTGTACAAGGTGGAGCCACAGTTGGCTGAGGACCAGCCTGTGCATGGGGACCTCGATCTTGTCATGAACCTCATGGATGCCCATAAGGTAAGGGGTGAGCTCTGGGCTGCATGTAGGGCAGAGCCATTGGGGACTCTACCTCTGTGTGTCTACTGCTCTTGCTACCTTTTCGGGGGAAAAGGAAATGTGAAATAGCCTGGATCTCTGCTTGTTAGAGGGGCAGCTCCTTGCTCTGCAAGTTTAAACAAATTGCAGCTTGGATTCTGCGTCAGTCACAAAGAATTTACCAAAATTGGTTAGATTCAGATTTGGCAGTATGTAAACTTCAATTTGAGATTCCCCATCCCCTTCCTGTTTTTATCTCGTAGTTGGGTCACAAAATGAATTGAAATTCAGTAGCCCCTCAGACATCTATTTCCACTGACTCCTTAAATGAAAGTGAGTGTTGGGTTTTTTTGTTTTGTTTTTTTTTTTTTTACTACTTCTAAACCTAACAAGCCCAGTACCAAATGCACCAATATTTAGTATAACTGGTACCTGTCATGTTGAGCTGCATAATGTCTTTGGGCTTCAACACAGAGCATTCAATTTACCCTGAAATTATGTTGTTATGTGTATGACACGTGTGTTTTTATTTAACTTCCACAATTCTGGAAATGTTAGTATAACATTACTCCCATTTTACAGATCAGAAAACTGAGACTGCAGCTAAGCAACTTACCCACCCAAAAGTCACACTGCTCATATTTTAGAACCACCTTTTCTGGTTGTCTTCTTATGCATCATCCTGCCTCCCCCTGTGCATAAAAGACACGTGACTGGAACCTGTTAAGGAAGACTGAACTAAATGATGATTTTCTCTGTGGTTTTGCTTCTTGTATTCAAAACATTCTCAAACTAATTTTTCTGTTTTCTTTTCTAGGTTTTCCAGAAGGAACTGGGAAAGCGAACAGGAACCGTTCAGGTTCTGAAGCGGTCAGGCCGAGAGCTGATCGAGAATAGTCGTGATGACACCACGTGGGTTAAAGGGCAGCTCCAGGAACTGAGCACACGCTGGGACACTGTGTGTAAACTCTCCGTCTCCAAACAAAGCCGACTTGAGCAGGCCTTAAAACAGGTCAGACACGTTTGCTGGGACAACTCCAGGGGGTAGATCCAAGCAGATTTATTCTATTTTCTTGATCAGGATGAGTTCCAGCCAATCTCAAAATGAATATGTCAAACATTTATATTCTGAATGTTCTACAGGATTTTAATACTGATTTGTATTAGAGGAATAATGAATTCAGTTCACTTTCAAAGACTACAAATGAAAGATAGCCTTTGTGGGACTGTGATAGGGCCATCAAATTCCTGTGATGCACTAAGGAGTTTAAGCCCAGACCCTTTCCTAGGCACTCCCCAGTGTCCAGGACATTGGCTGCAGAGAGACGGTCAATCTTTTGTGCTTGATTATTTCAGGCGGAAGAGTTTCGGGACACAGTCCACATGCTGTTGGAGTGGCTTTCTGAAGCAGAGCAAACACTTCGTTTTCGTGGAGCACTTCCTGATGATGCAGAGTCCCTACAGTCTCTCATTGACACCCATAAGGTAACCCAGCCCCAGGGTACAGTGACCCATGCCACCCACCACAGTGAGGGCTGCCCCGCCACTAAAGGAAAGCAGCTTTGGCTTGTAAACTTCAGACTTTATATGCAAAGGAGCAGAACCAGAAGGAGCACAGCATGTTTCTTAGCAGTAATGGTAGAAGTGACTGGCAATTTCTCTGGCGCCTTAAAGATTGTTCATTCATTTGTTTTTACAATATAATGCATGTTGGTTCTAAAGAAGTCTAACATCATGGTATTACATAAAGAAAAACATGGACTATTCCAGCTTCTTTACTCCTCACTTGCACACGGCTTTGATTCACTTTCATTGTCACTAGCTTCAGACCCTGATCAGCTCCCCCAGAACTCCCCTTTTTTTTTTTTTAACAAGACACACACCTGTCTGCAACTTTATTTTTTCTTTTTTTTTTTTTTAAGATTTTATTTATTTTTAGAGATGGGGGAAGGGAGAGAAACATCAGTATGTGGTTGCCTCTCCCACACCCCATACTAGGGACCTGGCCCACAATCCAGGCCTGTGCCCTGAGTGGGAATCGAAGCGGCGACCTTTTGGTTCGTAGGCCGGCACTCAGTCCACTGAGCCACACAGCCAGGGCTTCCCCCAGAACCTCTTAATCAATCCACAAAATATACAGTATCTGAGGCTGCAGTGTGACTGTCCTAATGAGATGGGAAATATTTCCTATTTTAATTTTTTAGTTACCCACTGGGAGATTTTAATCTTGGTTTTGTTATTGTATTCTGTTTTGGGTGTTTTTTTTTTTAATAGTAGTGTTTTACCGTTGTTATTTGTCCAAGATTGTTTACACACATGGAAGTGAATAAAAACAAGACTTTTTAAAAAGAGAGAAACTAATTCAGAATAGGAAAATGGGCATGCCCAGTTTGGAAAAGGGGCATACCTCTGTGTCCCTAGTCCTTGTCCTCTATAGCAGAGAAAAGACATTCTTTGTGTAAACTCCTCACCTACATCTTTCAAAACTGAAAAGAAAGTGCCAGTAACTCCTAATAGACTAGTTAGAGGCATTTAGAGATGTATGTCAATGAACACATGCAGGAAAAAAAAATACACTAAAATTTTTTCCCCCTGACAGTGGAAACTAACAGTGCTGTTTTGGTAGGTTTTTTTTTGGGGGGGGGGGTGGGGGGGTTGTTTGTTTGTTTTTAAGTTTTTGTTTTTTAATCTTTTTTGTTTAGGAATTCATGAAGAAAGTGGAAGAAAAGCGAGTGGATGTGAACACAGGAGTGACGATGGGAGAAGTCATCTTGGCTGCCTGCCATCCAGATTGCATCACTACCATCAAACACTGGATCACCATCATCCGAGCTCGCTTTGAGGAGGTAGGTCCCTGGCTTTAGAGGAAGACTACCTGTTCTGTATAAAATGAGTTTAAAACGATAAAATACAACAGAGCTCCCCCTATAAGAAATTTTGCACTCACTGGAAATAGTTCCACAAGATTAAGTTAATGTTTTAGTAATGACTGCTTTCTTGGCATTGGCTAAAATCTGGAAGACTAGTGCTAGTGCAGTGATGTCAGCCGATGGCTTCCGGTGGGCACATTGTGTATTCCTCCTCTTTTCTCAGAAGTCCTATGTTTAATAGGACATACTAGTTCTGCTTTCAGAACTGATTTCTCATGCCAGCTCTGTCATTGGAGCTTCTTAACTGTGTGGGTGGTTTTTGCCCTAAAGAGTCATTGTTAGGATCACATTAAAAAGGACTTTGAAAACAAAGGGATTTACTTGACTGAAAGAGGCTATGATTTCTTTTCCCCCAGGTCCTGACTTGGGCTAAGCAGCACCAGCAGCGTCTTGAAACGGCTCTGTCAGAATTGGTGGCTAACGCTGAGCTCTTGGAAGAACTTCTGGCATGGATCCAATGGGCTGAGACCACCCTCATTCAGCGGGATCAGGAGCCAATCCCTCAGAACATTGACCGAGTTAAAGCCCTTATCGCTGAGCATCAGGTATTTTAATTGCATCACGTGGTCACTTGTATTTCTTGAGTTGCTCATGGAGCCCATTTACTTTGACCTATTTAAATCTCTGCTTAACATATTTCTACAGACTTAGCAGCTTAGAACATCACACACACACATATCTCACAGTTTCTGTGGGGCCAGGAGTCTGGGCATGAGTTTGCTGGTCCTCTTCTTAGTGTCTTATTGGGCTGAAATTAAGTTAGTCAGCACAGCAGTTCTCATTCAGGCATATTTGAGTTGTTGGCAAAATTCATTTCCTGTGGTTGTAGGACCGAGGTCTCTGTTTTCATTTCTTTCTTTTTTTATTTTTTAATTGAATTTATGGTGGTGACATTGGTTAATAAAATTCTATAGGTTCATATGTACAGTTCTATATTATGTCATCTGCATATTGTAGTGTCACCCAAAATCAAGTTGCCTTCTGTCACCATTTATTCCCCCCTTTAATCCTCTTCTACCTTGCCCCCACACCCCTTTTCCCTCTGGTATCACCATATTGTTGTCTGTGTCTATGACTTTTTGTTTTTATTTTTGTTTTGTTTGTGCTTAATCGCTTTACCTATTTCACCCAGCTCCCTTCCATTTTCCTTTTTTTTTTTAATCCTCACCTGAGGATATGTTTTGAGAAAAAGAGGAACGGAAAGAGAGAAAGAGCAACACCTACATGAGAAAGAAACGGTAGTTGGTTGCCTCCCGTACACTCCTGACTGGGAATCGAACCCAGAGCTCCCCTTTCATTTCTTTGCTGTCAACTAGGAGTTGCTGTCAGCTCCTAGCAGCTTCCCTCAGGTCTTAGCTACACATGTTACTGAACAGGTAGAATTCATCCACCTGCTGCTAGGTTGTCCTAGGTTTTTCTTTGGCACCAAAGATGGCACTCATTGCTCTAACTTCCTGGTTTTCCTAACTCACCTGTAAGTCCCTTGAAGTGAAAACCCATGTCTTAACCTTCTAGGCCTCCAGCACCTGGTGAAGTGCCTTGCTCAATTATGTCTTTTCAAATGAGTAAGACAATGTACAAAGACATCTACCTATCATTTGGTCCGTCATGGACTTGGCCTTTGTTAGTAAGAAGTCTCCTAGTTTCATCTTAGTTTGAGAAAACTCTCAACTCTTTTTTTTTTTTTTTTATTGTTTGTGTTTAACAGATATTTATGGAAGAGATGACTCGAAAACAGCCTGATATGGACCGGGTCACCAAGACATACAAAAGGAAAAATATAGAGCCTACCCACGGGCCTTTCATCGATAAATCCCGTAGTGGCAGCAGTAAGTTTCCAGCCACTATGTTAGGATGCTTCATTCCTGCTAATTGAAGAGGAACACTTTCCAAATACCTATCAAAAAAATGTCCTTTTTATTTTCAAAAACCATTGGATTTAAACTAAATTCTTTTTGAAACTCTTTTTTTCTTAACACTGACATGTAATAATAACTAGACCCCATTTTTTTTTGGATTGGTATGAAATATCAAAATAGTTAAGCGAATTTTTTTTTTTTTACCGTGGCCTTCCCATTGTTTTGGTCATCAGTGCTAGCCGTTTACATTTGGTTTACATTAATTTAATCATAAACTAAATGAACTGCTCTTGTTCTTTTAGTTAATTTGACATTTCCTCAGTTCACTAAGGTAGGAGAGAATTGATTGTTCTTTTAGTTAATTTGACATTTCCTCAGTTCACTAAGGTAGGAGAGAATTGATTGAAAATATGAGACAAGTACCTGTAGGCTCGGAGGAGAATCAGTAGTTTTGAAATTAATATGTTTTTGTACTTTAAGTATTGCCAGGTTTCATGTTTCCTTTCTGTTACTGATTGGATATTATAAACATCTCCTAAGTTCATACATGCGACAGTGTTTCTATTTGTGAACTGACAAAACCAGCTTTTCTAATCTCCTGGTTATTTTTCCTTTTAGGGAAGTCCTTGAGTCAGCCCACACCTCCTCCCATGCCAATCCTTTCACAGTCTGAAGCAAAAAACCCACGGATCAACCAGCTATCTGCCCGCTGGCAGCAGGTGTGGCTGTTAGCGCTGGAGCGTCAGCGGAAGCTAAATGATGCCTTGGATAGACTGGAGGAGGTAAGGCCTTGCCAAGCAGCCATCCCTGGAGGGAGGTGACTTTTATTGGAAACAGCCATTCTGAGGCTCTCTAAATATGCATAACCTGTGTGCCTTGACCTTTCTTCAGAAGTAGAAACAGCCCAGTTTGAGCCAGTACTCTGTCCCTCAGGCCCACTAAGAGAAAAGACACACATGCACCCTCACTGGCGTGGCTCAGTGGATTGGGTACCAGCCTGTGAAACTGAAACATCACCAGTTTGATTCACGGTCAAAGCACATGCCTAGGTTGTGGGCCAGGTCCCCAGCTGGGGGATGTGAGAGGCAACCAATCAACATCTCTCTCGCACATTGATGTTTCTCTACCTCTCTTTCTCCCTCCCTTCCCCTGTAAAAATAAATAAAAGAAGAAAAAAAGTATGAGAGATTAGGGGAAAAATAAAAGACACACATGTCAGTAAACCACTCACAACGGAGAAGGCCAGAAAGCAAACAACGAGCCAGCCCTGAGAGTCTATGACCTGGCCCTCAGCACCTGGCGCTGTGATCGAAAATCAGGAGTGTGCTGCAAAATTACCTCCAGGGGTATAGCTTATCATAAAAAATGACTACTATTGACCCCTTTTAAGTAAAGATGTAAGCTACTCAATTATAAAATGAGAGTAATTTTTTAAAGATTTTATTTATTTTTAGAGAGAGCAGAAGAGAGAGAGAAAGAGAGGAAGAGGAATATCAATTCATTGCCTCTCGTATGCGCCCAAATCAGGGGACCAAACCCGCAACCCAGGCATATACCCTGACAGGGAATCAAACCAGTGACCTTTCCCTTTGTGGAACAACGTGCAACCAACTAAGCCACGCCAGTCAGGGCAAGAGTAATTTTTTATGATCTTGGTTTGCTATTCTCTTATTCTTCATTAGGTTATGAAGAGCAAGTCTGTTTTGAAGTATCAACAACAGTCTAAAAATATAGTACCACACTTTCTAGTTTGTAAAAATAAATCTCTAATATCTATATTTTTTTATTTGTGCATATCAAAGCAGCTGTGCCCAGAAGTGAGTGTTCTGTGTTTTTTGTTGTTATTTTTATGGAAGGTCAGTTGAGCTTTAAGCATATGTGGTTTTCGGCTTTTTCTTTTTTCCCCATTCCTTCCAACTTTGAAGTTTGAAAGACCAGGGGAAAACTGCTGTACCACTTAAGTCATTCTGCATTGATATCACTAACATAGTCCAAGTAGCTAAACATCACCTTGCCCACTTCATGGGCCTACTGTTGACTGTCAGAGCCAAATGTTTAACATGGAAGTCAGACAGGCAGTTTGCCCCTCCTGATGACATTCCAAAGAAACATATTTCTGTGCAAGATTGGATTTTTAACGCTTCCGGCCAGAATGCAAATTATCTCATCTCAGAAAATGGTGGGAAACGTGAGCCTCCTGACATGGGTCCCTGTGTGATCGTAGTTTCTTTCAAAAATCACTTAAATGAGGAGTGCTAATAAGCACTTCTCTTCCAGGGTAGAATTCATTCCCATACATCTAAGAGGGTGTCCCTTTGAAAAGGGGCAAAGGGAAAACAAGGCTGGCTCTGCCCATTCTTGTTCTCCTTGCACTGCATTTCCTATGGTGATGGTTCAGTCCCTTTCTTTTGCCGCTCCGTTATGCCACAGCTCGTGTAAGTGATCATGGCTTTACATGAAGGAGCCAGATGGTGTCTTCACAAAAGAGGCAACACAGATATTGTTGATGCACCTCCAGAAGGCCTGCATGGCTTTACTGAGTGTCTGAAAGTTATGGTGTGCTCTGGGCAGGCTTAAAAGCCAAGATACAGGTCTGGTTAACACTTCTGATTTCTATCTAGTTGAAGGAATTCGCCAACTTTGACTTTGATGTCTGGAGGAAAAAATACATGCGTTGGATGAATCACAAAAAGTCACGGGTTATGGATTTCTTCCGGCGAATTGACAAGGACCAGGACGGGAAGATAACACGTCAGGAATTTATTGACGGCATTCTAGCATCCAGTGAGTCTAGTCATAATTCCAAACGTGGTCACACTTGGATTCCTTACTGTGTGAAGCAGATGATAATATGGCTAAACAGTACTTCTGAAGTTAAAGCTATCATCTTAGGGAAGAAATGGAACTGCTTACTAAAATTGGTCTTTCATTTTCACGGAGAAAAGAACCTCATCTTGCTGGGAATGAAAAAGCAGGCCTTGTTTGACACATTGTGGCAAGCAAAACATGTTTGAGGTATAGATAAGGAGCTAACTTTTGTGAGTGATATGATTCTAAGCAAAATGCTTGAAAAAATTAAGTTTTTCATTACATCAGTTTCTGAGATCTATATAACAGCTTGCAAAATGTATGATCTCATTTATTTTTAGTAAAATAAATAATTGAGGCATAAATAGTTCAGTGATTGGCTGGAATCACAAAGCACATCCCACAGCTAAGCTACTTTACATGGGTGGCCGGGGAGGGCTTGTCTGTGGAGATGATGTTTGAGCTGAGACCTAGATGATGAGAAGGATCCAGCCAATTCAAGATTTGAGGGGAGAGACAGAGGCAGAGGGGACAGCAGATATAAAGTGCTGAGATGGGAATGAACTTGGCATGTTCTAGTCATGAAAAGGTTAATGTGGCTGGAGTGTAGGAGATAAAGCTAGAAGGATGGGCAGCAGCTAGTTAATGCAGGACCTCGTAGGCCATGGTGAAGAGATTGGATTTTATCCTAGAAACATTGGGACAGTTGGCAGCCACCAGAGACAATATAATCTGATTTATGTTTTAATAAATCACTCTGCTACTGTAAATTGTCACCTTTGGAAAGCAGTTTGTCAGGAATCTAAGGCAGTTATCTAAACAGAAGGAACTTTATCCTGTTAATTTCAAATTGTCAATATTCTGGAATAATCTAAATAATAATAGTGGAGTGGATAAATAAAGTCGATGCTATGTCCATGGGTGGTTATAATATTCTATTTATGCCCTTTTTTTTTAAGATTTTATTTATTTATTTTTAGAGAAAGGGGAAGAGAGGGAGAAAGAGGAAGAGAAACATCAAAGTGTGGTTACCTCACGTGTGCTCCCCATTGGGGATCTGGCCTGCAGCCCAGGCATGTGCCCTGACTGGGAATTGAACCAGTGATCCTTTGGTTTGCAGGCCAGCACTCAGTCCACTGAGCCACACCAGCCGGGGCTGTTTATGCAATTTGGTATATCTGAAACACCACTTTTTTTTTTTTTTAATTGCATGGTGGGGGGCAGGGTAGTTTAAGTAAAAACTTAACAGTAAGCAGCCTATCTTCGAGGTTTTCTAAAGTTGAGTGTCTATTGCTTTTCAGGATAAAAATCAAGATAAGTTTTTTCTTCAAGTAGCATTTACATAACCTCCACCCAAGTAAGCCCTCTTAGTTATTGTTCCAAATGTGTTTACCTTTCTCCAGAGTTCCCTACTACCAAGTTAGAGATGACAGCTGTTGCAGACATTTTTGACCGAGATGGGGATGGCTACATTGATTACTATGAATTCGTGGCCGCTCTTCATCCCAATAAGGATGCTTATCGACCAACAACCGATGCAGATAAAATTGAAGATGAGGTGTGGGAAATAATTGTATCTTGAGTACATGTCTGACCATAGCGTTTTACTGTCCTGATTAATTGGGTACAGTTGCCATATCAGCCCTGGGATTTGTCTGTTGGGAGGTAATTATTGGGATAGAGCTCTGTTTAGGGATCTCCTTTGGATGACGTTACCCCAAAAGATCTCTGGCTTTTGCACTGTAGCTCAGTCTAGATGACTTCTCACTCAAGTAAGTCACATCTGTGTGGTGCTCTAAAGTTTACACCTTAACTTGGTTCAGAGATACTGTGTTGCTTAGAATAGACTCTTAGATCTAAGTGTCCTGCCTCAGTATCCAGGGCAGTGGTCTTCAGATGTAGCATTTAAGGGTGAAATGTAAAGTAACGTTTAAGATGGTGTGTACCCACCAAACTTTCTGCCTAGTTAAGAGCTGTATCACACTGAAATAGCAAATTGATTAGTAGCACATAGACATCCCAGGATGTGTTGATCCTGGGAAGGGAGAGGCAGTAGGGCCTGTCTTGTCAGTGGCCTAGAACTCCCCAGGATGAACTTCTGGGGAATCTTGGGCTCCTAGGTTGAAATTCAGATCGGTTCATAATTTGTTTTGTTAGTTGATTTTGTTGCACGCATATTAGCACATTTTCTCTGAAAGAATTTTGGAACAGGATGGAAGAACGCCTTTTATGGTTACTTGGGAATTTCTCATACTTTTCTCTGTCTCAAGTGTCCCATATGTAAGAACAATGTGTTTTAATTTGGAATAGAAGGTAAATAATGCATGTTTCAAAGCCTGAAATGCCTTAAGAGTACATAATGAATAGCTTCTTTGTTTACATATAAAAATCTTTGTTTCTTTGAAGAAGTGTTGCTTTACCTAACTTCACACTTACCTCTTTTTACTGTTGTTCACAACCAATAGGTCACAAGACAAGTGGCTCAATGCAAATGCGCAAAAAGGTTTCAGGTGGAACAGATTGGAGAGAATAAATACCGGGTAAGGAAGAGAAAAGTAGTCCTTTTTGGTGGTGGTTTGTCCTTCATGGCCCTTACAGGTGAAAGCAACCTGACAAATGGCAGTCTCGATGATCCCACCTTCCCATTGCCAGGGCTTGGAGGACCAGAGTCGGTGGGACCTGAGATGTGTCTCTGTAGATTCCAAATGTGAGGTGTCCTTTTAGGCTATGCTTAGTGCGCTTTATAGTTCCATCTGAAAAACACTGCCCTGTCTGGCTAACAATAGCTTGTACTTCAATATACAAGACATCCCAGAGCCCTGTCTTTACTATTCACCAAGGTCTTTAGGGAGATGAAGACACCTCTACTGTAGGATAAGGAAGCAAATACCAAATAGCTGACCATACACCAAGAGCTGGTCATTGTGAGCCCCAGTGGCTCCTGGGCTCAGACATAGCTGGAGGAACTTGTGTCAAGGCCCCAAGGAGGACACTCTCCCTGTGCTGAGCTGGGCTACAGACAGGGCCTGGGTGCCCTGGGTGATGCCAGGCTCAGTAGTCTTTCCTGGAAAGCCATGCTGAGTGTGGCCATAAGTGACAGAGAACTATGCTGTTTTAGTTTCTTTTAGGATCAGGGCCTGAAACAGGGCCCCTAAAATATACTCAGCAGCTTGTCAGGAATTCTCTAAAGTCCTAAGGGAAATTTAGGATTGGCAAAGAGGATTTAAGATGGCTATGTCAAATTGCAAGTATATGTACTGAGTTAAAAACAGTAAAAAAAAAAAAAAAAAAAATCTAGGTTCCATTAGTAGTATATCAAAAATGTCTTCAAAGTACACCAAAAGCACACTGTGCTGCCCTTAGCTAGGGAGTATTGGGTGACTGCTTTGGACCAACCCAGGGCACTTAGTTTAAAAAAAAAAAAAAACCAAACTGCAAGCATTCTTATGCTTGCTTTTTGGGTTTCATTTTCTTATTTCTTTTAAATTACCTATGAGAGAAATAAGAAGAACAACATAGTGTGAAAAGTTAGTTCCTCTTAATTCGTAAAACCACAAGCTCAGTAAAAATGTTTAACCTGTGTCATTATGCTTAACGATTGGTAACATGATTACATGATTTTTATTCCTTAGTGTTAATTTCATAAAATGTTCTTTTTTTTTTTTTTCTTTTATTTCCTTCATCCTTTACTCTTACTCTCTGTAGTTCTTCCTCGGCAATCAGGTACAGTGTGCCTTGCAACGTTCTCCTTCTCGGTGGACATGGTCTGTGTAGTTTATGATGCCTGTTCTTTGCTATGGGGAGAGGACACAATCTGAAGCATGCCTGGGTCACATCTGGTTGTCTTACCAAGTGGAGAAACTGCGAACAGGCCTAGTACTGTAGACCTGTCTTGGCAGAAAAGGGTTATAAGTCTGTATTTTTTAAAAAGGAGATGAAATTTTGCCTTCAAAATTAGGTTGGCTGAAGATGATGGTATTACGCTGGGTTAAGTTAACAGTAGTATATTTCAGGGAAAATTGAATCTATGGTATCAGTGCACTCTTCTAAAAAGAACCTGGTCTTGTATTTCTGTGTTGGAAGTCAGACAACCAGAAAACACAGTTCTGACTTGTACCAAAGTCTTTTGACAGTAAACACAAATTCTATAATGTACACCAAGTTGAAAGTCTTGGGGTATTTAAATATTCTGTTTAAATACCTTAGAATATTTACAGTTACTTGCACTTACATTTTATCATTATAAGGTACCTGAGAAGTATAGTGTGGAAATCACAATTGGCCATAGCCTAAAGTTTGCTAATTAAGGCCAACTGGCCAAAATCTAATGGGATCAAATGGACTGGCCAAAAAGATTGAATACTTTTGACTCCACTTGGTAACTCTAACCTTTTTGATCTTTTTGAGGGCTCTGGGGTCCTGTGTCTTCAAATGGAAGGAAGTTGCATGGGTAAAATCTGTCTTGTGATATGAAATCAGAAATACTTAAGAGTTAATTTGAGGCCCTCAATCAATGTTAAATGCCAGGCACTGCAATAATCACAAACTACAGTAACCTTTTGGGCCAGTGGGAAGAACAAATGATAGGAAAGGACAACAATGAAATTTGCTTTACATGCATCATTCTGTCAGAGTGCCAGGTAGCACCTAAAAGACGTGACTGTTAACCTGCTGACTGCATGCAGCGGCAGGGCCCCTTTGAAGACTGACATCCGGCTCTACTGCTCCATTGACCAGCAGAGGGTGGGATGAGTTCATTTTCATGTTGTAAACAGAATTATGAAGTTCATTTTATACACGAAGCACCTGAGGCCTAAAGGATCACATGCCAATAATCACACAGCAAAGTCTCAACCACTGCAAGCACCCATGTGACTGTAAGGGATTTTCCATTTAAGAATAGGAAACAGAAGTTACTGTTGCCTCTTAAGTTCTGTTGAGGCTTTGCCTCACTGATACGCAGCTCTGTCAGGTTTGAGCAGGAGCCCCTATCCCCCCCGCTTTTTTGTATCTTCACCCGAGGATATGTTGAATGATTTTAAAGAGAGGGAAGGGAGAAAGAGAGAAAGGGAAAAACACTGATGTGAAAGAGAAACATCGATTGGTTGGTTGCCTTCTTATATGTGCCCCAACCAGGGATTGAAACAGCAGTCTCTTGGTGTACAGGATGTTGCTCCAACCAGCTGAGCCACCCTGCCATCACAGGTCCCCATTTTTAGAGCTGCCATAATCCGATCCACCGCTCGTCACTCACCACCCTCAACTTCCCCAGACACTTTGGCTACTGGCTGGATTCAAACCTCCTTTCCCCATAGCTCAGCAGAAGCAAGTTAGTCTTTCAGAGGGAGTTTTAGTAAGAAATTAAAGGGGAAAGGAATGAAATAAATGGAGTAAAGGCTAACAAATTGCAGGATACAATAACATAAGAATAAAGTACATCTTGGGATTCCTAGGTTACTCTGGAAGATACATAGGCCCTCATTTCCTTCCCCTCCTCACCTATATGGAGAGGACCCCCAACTGTGACTCAGTCCATTGCTGCTCTTGAGTCTGGTGGAATCCTCAGTCCCTTACTAAGGGCCTCCCCATTTTCACTCATTGGGCCATTGTCTGAGGGAGGCTCTGGCAGAGGCCAAAGGGGCAGCTTCCTTCCCAGGACACGACATTTGTTTCCTCACGTTCTCTGGGTGCCCACTTCAGCGCTCCTCACACTCCACCATGCCATTGCTGTCATCACTCTGTATTAAAAAAGCACTTTAAAACTGTATGCAATGAAAGATACAAGACTTTTTATTTTCAAAGTAAAGAGCTGGGGAGTGGGATGATACTTTTTTTTAGTCATCTTGCCTGTATAAATAGTGCGCTTGAGTCAATGCAAAGTAATAGTACAGATAATTACCACAGATATATTAATTTTGAAGGAGGTTGATTATATGTCCTTCACAAACATTCTTTCTGGCATTTTCAGTTTTTGTGCCTAATTTCAAAGGTACAGTTCTCCTTTATAACTTTGAAAACCCTATAGTCCCTTCTCCCACCTCCCCCTATTTTCCTTGATTTGAATAATTTTAGGAATGCTGTTTTTCCAGCCCTTTGATTTTTGTTTTGGGATCTCAGCATGATTCTCTTCTGTTGCCTCTTAGTTTATTTTGGGAAGAGGGTAATTTATGCAGTGGGAAACTTCAGAATGTTAACAGCACTGAGAAGTAGAAATATTAGGTAGGAAAAAAAGAAAAAAAATAAATACTAGAAAGGCATGCCTGTCTTAACATCCCAAAATGATTGTTAAATACAGTTGAATATAATCAAGATGGTAAATTAAAAATTTGATTTCTTTAAATAAATTTTTGTATAAGTATTACCTAATCATTTGTGCAGCTGGAGAAACTTTTCTGCTGGTAACATCACTATTAGAGAGTATTTTGGGTTTATTTCTGAAAATCTGATGTGGAAAATCAAATTTCCTTCTAAGCTTGTAATAATTACGATGCTTTGCAAGGGTTTCCTTGAGGCTTGAAATATTTGCTGTTCTCCATTTAACTTGAGCACACTGTATTCAGAAGTTGACGCCTACCTTAATCCACCTTACCATCTATGAAAACAAGCTAGCATAGTAAAACATTTCATTATTGAGTTTTAATTTGGGCAGAATGTTTAAAAGAATCCAAATGAGTTAATGTTTTATCTATACTCTTGGCTCCACCTTTGGTCAGTGGCGTGACCATCAGAAGTTAATTTTATTCCAATACAAAAGTCTTTAGCTTTATATTTCAGTTTTTCCATATTTTAAATTCTTTTGTGAAAAACGCAAAATAGTGAGAGTTAAAATTCTCCCCAAACTATCAAATTGTCATTGTGTCTGAATACAGTCTGCTTTGGAAAGGCCTGCTCTGAGGCGCACTCACTCATCAGTTTCTCCTCGGTCCTGCAGTTCGGGGACTCCCAGCAGCTGCGGCTGGTCCGCATCCTGCGCAGCACAGTGATGGTTCGCGTTGGTGGAGGATGGATGGCCCTGGATGAATTTTTAGTGAAAAATGACCCTTGCCGAGGTAAGGAACCATCCTGAGCGTGAATTACGTGTTAAGTACGCCCTTACCACCGATCTTGATCTTCGTGTTTACTCAAAGTGTTGGGGGTCTCTTGATTTATTTTGTTGTTCAGTGGCCCAGATGTTGTCTCACTAGCACAGATGAGAGCTTGAAGGTAACAGAATAGACCAAGGAGAGGAAGGAGAAGAGGTTGATACTATCGGGGAGACAATAATGAGAATTGGGAATTTATTGGTGTCATTGAGTATTTCAGTTTGAGGTGTTAAATAAACACTAGCCTAGAATGGAGCCTGATGAAGCCCTTTAGGTTCCCCTTTAGTGCTCCAAATCCTTTTTCCTGAAAGTCGGGGAGTGTATTGGGCCCCTCCCACGCAAGGAAGGACTGGGGTGCTCCCTTGACCAGGAGGCAAGATAAAGAACACCTAGCAGTGAGCCCCATCACTTTTAGGTCAGATGATCACCTAAACAAGATCAGGGATATCTGTCTGCTAAACATGAAAAGGCTGGTGTGCCAGCCCAAAGGCAAAAGGAAAGGGTGACTGTAATAATGAGCGGTGGCACCTGCAGCTAGATGCGCATGAGGGCCGCAGCAAGGGGGAAGCGGTCAAATTCCAGTTGCTAAATCCTCTCCAGCGGCGTCCTTTCCTTTTTCCTCTTAGCCAAGCTGCATGTGGGTATACAGGAGTCTCCCCCACTGTCTGCCAATTTGTCTTTCTTGACCAGTTTCTGCATTTCCTGCTCTGTCTGTCTGTGTTTATGTATTTTTTTATTCTAGTTCACCATCCTGGGAGTAAAATAAAGCGCTCTGATTCCAGCTCTTCGATTTCCAGTCAGTCTCCCATAGGTTGGCTTTTAAGCTTTGTCCCTCCTCCCCGTATCCCAGCCTGTTGAGAATGGCTTTGCTTCTGAAACTGCAGCATCTCTTGTCTCTGTGGTAACTGCTGCCTCTATGAATGCTTTCAAATAGCCAAACCTTAGCTTTTCTATTGTAAGCTGACAGAGCATAAAAACTTCTGTTGAGACAGAACCCATGGAATTTGTTTTTGAGTTTCTAGTTATCTAACTAATACGTAGTTTTACATGCCACACACTATTATAAGCACTTGACAAATAATAACATTACACCTCTGTAAGGTGTAGATACTATTATTATCTCCATTTCATAGAATAGGAAATTGAAGCATAGAAAAGTTAAATACTTGCCTGAGAACAGACAACTCATAAATGGCAAAGATGGGATTCAAATCCAAGATAGTCTGGCTCTAGAGATGTGCTCCTGACCACCATGCAGTGTGTGTACAAGGCTAACATACCCACCACCCCTTTTTGTGTGCATATGACTGGTTCAGCCTGTGTAATTAACATATTAAAACTTATTTATAAACCTAGCAGAAATGTTTACAGTACAGTTACATAACTTTTGGGGGGAAGTAAAGTGTAGTCATATTCTGAAGCTTTTAGAGCTAAAGGGTACAATTCTTACATAGTTCCTCTTATTTCAACTCATTCTGCATTTACTCCAATGAACAAGAATAATCTTCATCAGGAGTTTCCTTCTTTTTTTTTTTTTAGAAAATAGTTAATTTTGAAAATATGCTGGTCAAAACTGGAAAGGGTATAATCAGTTTTAGAATTTAATTATATTGCAAACCAATTTCTTTGGTATAAAAGTCCTCTTTCATTCTTTTAAATGAGGAGCAATATATTTCATTTTAACCGTAACTCAGTAAACAGCATTATTCCTTTCTAAATCTATTAATAAGGTTTTATTTTTTTGTGTCATGTATGATTGGACTAAACAAACAAAAGAAAAACTGCATGTAATATCCTGGGATCTTTGGTTGCCTGTTTGCTGCCTGCTCTACTTGCTCTATTTATGATAACATGCTGCTGGCCAAGAAGAACACTGTCTGCTTTGTCCTTCTGTTATTAGCTGAAAGTTGTAACCCCAAGGAAATTGGGGGGGCCATCTAATAGCTATTGTCTATGGAACATAGTAGCCTTTTTCAGCATCCCTTGGAGCACACAAGGTAAGGCTTTCCTCGGTGTCTCTCCAGGAATCCCCCTAGAGCTCAGTAACCATCACAGCTGCATCGATTGCAGGGTCAAGAGGTCCCAGCAGTCTTAGATATCATGACTCTGCTAGTAGTGGACACGATGAGCCACTTCTAGTCAAATAAAAATTGTGCTAGGAGGTTTACACTGAAGGGCTGGAGTGGCTACAGTAAATGACTTGGAAAGGCATGAACATCACAAAAAGAAAAGTTCTGGAAAGTGTCTAGAATCCTATAAGGATTACTGTGGCTTCTAGAAGCCATTTGGAGGTAGATTTTGTGTTTGTTTCTGTTGTATTTCCTTGACACTCTGAGCCATAGAGAATCTCATACTGAGGACAGTGTAAAAATTATGACATTTGTAATACCAATGTGCATGATCATTTGTTACTTCCTTTTACACATCTGTTTAAAAGGATGAACAATGTCTCCACACTTTGCTTTAGCCAAATGGAAAAAGTAAAAATATTCAACAGGGGAGGTTCCTGGTATTGCCAGAATGGGAGAGTTCAGTTTCTGAATCCAAACACGGCGAAGGATGTGGTTCGGGTAGAAAGTAACAGCAGTGCCCCTGCCTAACGAAATGGTAGACCTTTACTGATTTTTGAGCATTATACAAATTAATTACCACAGATTTTAGTGAAAATCTAGAAGAACTTTGTTTATGGAGATTTAAATGGTACAGTTTGGCTTAGAACTGTTTTGTTTTACTGATGGTAAAATACACACATGAAATTTACTATCTTAACCATTTTGAACTGAACAGTTTAGTGGCATTAAGTACACTCACACTCTCTTGGTACCATCACCCATCCACGAAACTGTTTTCATCTGGTCAAACTGAAACTCTACCAATTAAACCAGTAGCTTAGAACTGAATTTTATAGCTAGCAGGCCTGCTCCAGCCAACATCAGGTGGCCCGCTTAGGTCCCTTAGAAAAATGATGGCCTCTTTGGGGGTTCAAAAACTGAACTTGAAATGGCTGTGTCCGTAGTCTGGTCCCCAAGATGTGATCTTCAAAAAAATTAAAAATCATGGTCAAATGCACATTTCCTCACTGCAGGACTTCCTAGAGCTTATAAAATGATGATTGCATTAGGGCTCTCCAGGGGCCAAGGGTTGGCGGGGAGGTAGCATACAGAGTTTACTAAACTCCATTTTATAGGAAACTTCTCAAAAACCTCAGTTTGGGCCCTGACTGGTATGGCTCAGTGGATTGGGCATAGTCCTGCAATACCAAAACATCACCAGTTCAATTACCAGCCAGGGCATAAGCCTGGGTTGCAGGCCAGGTTCCCAGTTTGGGTTGCGCAAGAGGCAACCACACATGGATGTTTCTCTCCCTCCTTCCCACTCCCTTCCCCTCTAAAAATAAATAAAATCTTTTAAAAAAACAAACAAAAAACAAACCTTCAGTTTGGGAAATTCTGCTATTAGCCGTGAAAGACCATGAAAGAATTTTGAGCTGTACACAGATAGGAAATTTTTATTGAGAAATACAGTCTGGGGAATGAGTGAGGAAGAGGTAAGGAACAAGATGAGAATGAAGGAGGCCAGCTGGAAGCCTGTTACAGCCAACCTGGGTGGAGAAGATGCCACATGAACCACATAGAGTAGGAGGGTGTGGAAAGGCTCAGGAATTTACGAAGCATTAGAAGGTAGAGTGGTAGGCCAAACTGCCATCACAAGGGAGAGGATCTGGCTTTGATCATGTCTAATCAGTCATTGGATATAACTTCAGACCTCCAGGAGTAGAGTCAGTGCTGGGATGTATTTGGGAGTCAGGCATAACCTTTGATACTGAAGTCTCAGGTGGATGAGACACTACCAGGTTGAAAGTCTTAATAAGGAGAACAGAACTTCAGACAGAACCCGGGGATGTCAATGTTAAAAATTAGGCAGGCAGGGGGAGGGAGGCAAAGTAGGGACCCAGGGTAGGGGGAGTATTTCAAGAAGAGAGCAGTTAGTAATCCCCTCACATGCACATTACAACAGCGGAGATCTGTTTTTACCTGTCATGTTGGCAGGTTTTTACTTGCATACATACACACATGGGTTCTCATTCCCTCCATCCCTTCCCCACCTCCCTGATACAGAGAGCACTGGCCGAGGTGAAGTAAATTAAATATACATTACTTGGGAGCGTGTCCATTGGTCTTCTATTTTGGAGATCAGTTGAGTGGGCACAGTTACCCATAATCTTCTAAACTTGCAGTTTCTGGCCAAAGTGGAAAAGTCTAACATAGAAAAGAACCACAAATATTTTGTTTAGAATAGTTCCCTTTCCTCTCGCTTCACCAGCAGTCCCATTTGTTTAGATCTATCTCGTACATTCTATAAAGCAAAGTTTAGGGTAGATGATGAGATAGAAGGTTATTGCAGGATAACACCTTTCGAGGAGAAAAAATTTAAGAACATATTCCAGAGGAATTACTTACTTTGAATTAGTAGTATCTTTCACATTTAACATTTGTGTTGGCCATACTTGGTATCTTCTGACCGAATCCAAAAGCCACAGAACAGCACCTTTTGGCCTTCAGTGCTGTTTCCAGATTCTCCCCACCTTGACATTCCTCTCCCATTCACAGACATCCTTCAGCTTCTTACCACTCTTAAGTTTTTGACTTAACACTACCTCACGGGCAAGTTTTGTGCATGGTTTGATCTTCTCTCCTCCCATGTTTACTTCTTAATGATTCTATCCTCATCTTTTTACTGTACCTAAGTTTCTGGACCCCTTTTTTTAAGGATCGCTATTGACTGAATTCAAATAGAAGAGTCTGGATGATGTCAATTTCAACTCTCTCTTTTTCTCCACTATTTCATTACCATGTATCTTTCAAAAGCTTAGGAAAAAGTACACATCCTATAAGATACGAAAGGGGTTTGATTTTGTCTCAGAAGTCTGAACTGCTACATCTGCTCTCCTTGACCAGCCTCAGTGTGCTTACCCCTGGGGACAGTGGCCAGGCACACTTGTAACCCTGGGGACAGTGGCTTGGCATGCTCATGACAACAGAATGCAGTGGCACTTTGTATACAAAGATTTATTATAGCAGATTAAGGGGTTTATTAGTTAATGTGTCTGTTATGGGTAAGAATCATGACAAGGCTGATAGCTCATGAATTTGTCTATTTTAGAAGAACCCAAACATGGTACTAAGTCTATAATTTATATAACTTCTCATGGGGTAAAGATTTTAAGATTAACTGCCATCATGTGTGTGTGTGTGTTTATTCCCCTTTTAGCACGGGGCAGAACCAACATTGAACTCAGAGAGAAATTCATCCTACCTGAGGGAGCATCGCAGGGAATGACCCCTTTCCGATCACGGGGTCGAAGGTCCAAACCATCTTCCAGGGCAGCTTCCCCTACCCGCTCAAGCTCAAGTGCTAGCCAGAGTAACCATAGCTGCACATCCATGCCATCTTCTCCAGCCACCCCAGCCAGTGGTACCAAGGTATGTACTGACTACCATTATGGCCTCCTTCCCCATGTTTGTAGATACTCCTTGTTCAGTGTAGCCTCTGAAAGGCTCCAATGAGAAGAGGACCGTGAAGATACATGGACTCAGCTCTACCTGGACCAGGCTGACCAGGCCCTAACGGGACTTTAAGATACAGGGACTTTAAGATGACGACAAAGGATACTTATTAAAATAGGTACTCAGGCTCATGTGGCTCAATTGGTTGGAGCGATGTCCTGTAACCGGAAGGTTGCCAGTTGGATCTGTCAGGGCACATACCTAGGTTGTGGGTTTGATCTCCAGTCTGGGCACATATGGGAGGCAACCAGTTGATGTTTCTCTCTTACACTGATGTTTTTTCTCTCTCCCTTCTTCTCTCTCTGAAAAGCATTGGAAAAATGTCCTTGGGTGAGGATAAAAGTAAATAAATAACATACGTACTCAGGTCATTAAGTCAAACACTTTCTTCCACATATCCCCAGTTTGAAGTTGAGCACAGAGAAAATCCAGATACACTCTGTGCGGCTGGAGGTAACATTTTGTGTTAAAACAGGTTATATATGAAGAGTGCTGTTGCCTTTCCAGCCGGTCATTCTCATCTCGTCAGACTGACATGCATTTTATTTTGTTTTCTTTTTCTTTAAAATGTAGTGTGTTTTGTTTATGTTTTATGTTTCCTATTTGCTCCCTTCCTGTTCCATTTTCAATTGTTCCCGTCCTTCCCTTTGCATTTCCATTCCGCAGACGCCACTTCAGTCCTCTCGCTGTTATGACAAACCCTGGTTGGTAAACAGTAAAGCTGGCACCCCAGTCAGGGACAGCCACTATCCTGACCTCCAGCTGCCCAGCCCCGAGGTAGAGTATGGCTTCGCTGACTAAGGACACAGTCAAGACGAGGCCCTCTCCAATGCAAAGAACTTGACCAGTTACTCTGACACAAGTTCATGCTCTCTTCCATCTCTGTGGTGCTTGCTCTCACAGCTGATTCATCTAGTGAAGTGTTTTTCAGGTGTTTCTAACTCAAGAGTCACCAGAATTGGAGATAAGTAAGAGATGCCTAAAATGAGATTGTTTAACAACTTTCTTAGAGTCTTCAGAAGGATACATGTTCAGGGTGATAAACATTGGCCATTCCTGGTGATTTAATATGATTATTTATAATCAGGCCTCTTGTAGTCTCCAATTGTCAGATACACAGATGAGTTATGAACACTTGAAATTCACCTATGGGTGCATGTCCAACAGTTTCTTCTCTTCACTGAGAACAGAAGCGTGGCTGGTGCCCCTGCCCAGAGCCCCCGTCCCAGGGCGGCTGGTGTCGCCATGCTGGTTCGAGGTGTGGGTGCTGCCCACTTCAACCTAGCACAGTATCAGTAAATGATGCTCTGAGTCTCAGGGTTTAGCTTCTGGGTTTCCTGGCTTAGGCACTTGGGTTTCTGTAGCCTTCATTTGAATACACATGAACAGTTAAGCATGTTCATGTGTAGTCAAAATGCCCAAGCACTTTTGGAAGAGCAGTGTTTCAGAAACAAAACACGGACTAGTGGCTTGTCTGATAGCAGGACAGTTTGCATTCTAGCTTCTCCAGGAAATCATTGGGTTCTTGTGCCTCAAAAGATAGTGCTGCCTTCAGTGATGTAATGCTTCCACCAGAGAAACCGGGAGGTACAAGAAGCCAATAACTGTGAATAGGCTGCTGCTTTGGGATTCACTCCTCTCCAAGCTAAAACTCCAGTTCAGAAATAGATCTAGTTTAGAACATGATCGGGGGACCTATTGCTACTAAAACCTCAAGGCTGAACCTGCTGGTCTTGCTTCTCTTCTTCCTTAATGGCTCAGTTTCATGGAACTTTTAAAAGTTCTAAAATTTTAAATGTTTTAATTATGCAGTACAAATTCTTAGAGAATTCTGATAGAACAGCCTTTTTGTTTGTCTTAAGGTTTCACCTCTTGTTGCGTTTCAAGGTTTCATCTTTCCTTATCTGTTGGTGTTCGGCAACCAGGCCGTGCGTACCCTGACGCACTCCCGGCCCAGGGGCTCTGGGGCTGTGTCTCCCCAGCAGCAGCGTTCACCAGCGATAGCTTCTGAAACTGGTGCTCTTCCTCCTGTGTGGGCCAGGAGGGCTTGTGCTCGAGTGTTAATCGCTTTCTGTCGCTTCTGCTTCTTTGTAAATTAAAGAAATACAAGAATCACAATGAAATGGGTTGCTTTACTCTTCTGTTGGTATAAGCACGTTAAAGGTCTTGGAAAACAATTTACCCAGCTGATTTCACAGAAAAATTAAAACAGTATGCTCTGGCATGAAATGATGCAAAAAAAAAAAAAACACAGAAAAAAAACCCCACCCATTCAAATAGCAAATGTAGCTCCTGCAGTAGCAGTAATAATAATGTACATCTATCCAGCTCTTTTCCAGTTTAGGAAGTGCATGATTTATTCATTCAGCAAGTTTTTATTGAACCCTTCTTTTGTACCAGACACTGTTTTAGTTCTGAGCATTTTAATAGTGAACAAAACAAAGCCCCCACTTTTATGGAGTTTACATTTTAATGCAGGAAGGACAGATAACAAACAGGAGACACACACCCCCACTGCCCCCATCCCGGCTGTTGGAGGATCAGCAAAAAGGTTAGTGTGGCCGGGATGGCTTGAACGAGACGGGGTGCAGCAGAAATGAAGTGAGAGAGGCAGGACCAGCCTTGATTTCCTGAGGGAGATGTGCAGTCACAGAGCCCAGACCCCAGGCCAGGTCTTCAGGTTCCTGGCTCATCTCACAGCCCCACCCTGTAGACTTCTAGTCATTTATTTGATCCACAGTCAAGTAATTTTATCTGCATTTTACCAGTGAGGAAAAAACTGAAAGATCTTAACCTGACTGAAGTTGCTGCACCTACCTAGTGACAGAAATTGATGTAGTAGTATTCAGCTCTCCATATTACATATTTGAGGCTAGAACTCAGTATTTCACATTTCTAACCCCAAAACTTTGATACTTGGGATTATTTGGATTTTTTTCCCTTTACTTATTCACCTATGTCTATTCCTTATAAGTATTACACTTTTACAGTTTGTGGACTCCCCCCCCCCAAACCCACATTTATAGTGGAAATTTATCAGCAAGATAACAGATATTGGAAGCATGTTGAATTTTAAGTTGGAACATGAAAACTTTACTTTAGAAATCATCAAAATACATGACTTAGAATACTTCCAAAATAAATCTTTGTTTTCCTGGACTTTTAACTTTTGCTTTTCAATCAGTTAGACATAAGGAAGCTTTTAGGTTTTAAAATTCAGTTTCTATCAAAGATTTCACCAAGTAAATATAACCATTTTATTTTTTTTAAGGTTATTCCATCATCGGGCAGCAAGTTGAAAAGGCCAACACCAACTTTTCATTCTAGTCGAACATCCCTTGCTGGTGATACTAGCAATAGTTCTTCCCCAGCTTCCACAGGTGCCAAAACTAATAGGGCAGGTATGTATCTATGCATTGGGATGGGGGAGGGGTGGCCAGGCAGGGAATTTGAAAACAGCAGCCCATCAGCAACGTTTCACTACTCCCCAAGGAGCAGATCATGAGAGTAGTAGCACTTAGATGTGATGCCCAGAGCAACAGACCTGCCGGCTTCCTGCTGACCTTGACTTTTTTCTCCTGTCACTATAGCTGGCTCGGACTTGCCTTCTGAGAGCCGACACTTCCACAGCCAAAACCGTATTTAAGAGAATGTAAAAGGAAGAAAGGGCCCCCCAAAGCAGTACCTTCTCAAAAGCCCTTACAGTGTTGGGACAGGCACTTTGCAACTGTTTTTTTTCCAGCACCCCATGTTTCTGATCCTCAGGACGCAGGCTTCTTCAGTAGCATCACAGAGCCAGAAATGGTTTCAGTAACTTCCGTGCAGATGAGAACGGGGTCCAGAAAGTCTCTGATTTGCCCAATGTGACACACTGGTATATAGGTTCAGAACCCTAACATCTCTGTTAAGGCTGCTGCTTTATTCTTCAATTCCAGACCCGAAAAAGTCAGCCAGTCGCCCTGGGAGCCGGGCCGGGAGTCGAGCGGGGAGTCGAGCCAGCAGCCGGAGAGGAAGTGATGCTTCTGACTTTGACCTTTTAGAGACACAGTCTGCTTGTTCAGACACTTCAGAAAGCAGTGCGGCAGGGGGCCAGGGCAGCTCCAGGAGAGGGCTAAACAAGCCTTCAAAAATCCCCACCATGTCTAAGAAGACCACCACTGCCTCCCCCAGGACTCCGGGTCCCAAGCGATAACACTATATACGCACCCCTTGGCCTCTATCCACTTTGAATCCTGCTCCATATATTGGGTGTATATTTATTCTGAATGGGAGAAGTTATATTGTTAAAAGTGTAAAAGAATAATTGTGTTATGAAGCTGCCTTACTTTTTTTTCTTTTTGTAAGTTACTATTTTCATGTGAATATTTATGTAGATAAAATTTGCCTCCTGGTAACCCTGTATTGGATGGGGCCCAGAAATGAAATATTTGAAAAAAACAAATGAAAAGGTCAAGATGCGAATATGTATTTAAAAAAAAAAAAAGCCTCTAAATAGGGTTTCTGTGTGGTGCAGGGTTATGAACCTGCTTTATCTTTTAGGATTATTCCTAAATGCAACTTCTTTATAAACTTGACTTGCTGTCTCAGCAAGATAAATTATATTAAAAAATAAGAATCCTGCAGTGTTTAAGGAACTTTTTTGGGGTTTTTTTTGTTTTTGTTTTTGTTTTGTAAATCACAGACACCTCAATTAGCAAGAACTGAGGGGAGGGTACTTCTAATTGCTTTTTCCATTGTTTTTAATGTTGTGTGATTTTAGCTGAAGAGAGGGAACCTCATCTAGGTAACATTTGCACATAATACGGCAAAAGGACTTCATTGCAATACTGTCTTTGAGTACTGTTTCAGTACTGGGTGTTTAAAGAACAAATAGCTGCTAGAATTCAGGGGTGAATGTAACTAACTGTTCAGAAAACGTCAGAACGTGGGGATTTTTTAAGAGTCCTGGTTTGTAACTTCCTATCCAGCCCGGCCACCAATAACTCTTGTGCTCACCAGGAACCAGGCCCTTGGCAAAGGGAGATTCCTAAGTGGCACTGTGAATTAGAGATTTGTTTATCTGTATTTTTTGCTATATTAAATGGTCAGTCAACTTTCCACAAACTGAGGAATGAATTCCGAAATGTGGACATAAAACAAAACACTGCTCGTCCTTTAAAGGAGTTCACCAGCACACTTGTTAACAAGTCCCGTTTGCTTCCGTCTTTTTTTGTGCGTAATAAAGTCAACTGACCAAGTGACCATGAAGAGGGACTGCCTGGGGCTCCTGTTTGTAGCTGCTGTTCCTCTTCAGCTCCGACCATGTTGCTGTGTGATTATCTCAATTGGTTTTAATTGAGGCAGAAACTGAAGCTCTACCAATGAACTGTTTAAAAACAAGACACTTTTGTATTAAAATTGCTTGCAGTAACAAACATTTTGTATTTCCTGCTTTCCTCCTCAACCATTCCCTTATATATAACATGTTACTCTGGGATAAGATTGTGTTTTAGGTACTTGAGTGCATTAATGAAATCAAAATGTCTTGATGGATAAATTATGGAGCTTATTAATAGATTTTTTCCTTGTTTATTTTATGCTCATTAATTTTACTTAACAAGGCAACAAAGAAACAATCAGGCTATTAACATGCATCTGTAGGGAATCTGCCCTACGTAGGTAATTAAACAAATACCAGTGTGTGATGTAAGAAGACATCTATATTTGAAATCACAGAGATCCTGGGATTTGAGAAAATGGGGCCGGTTTCCCACAGTACACTGAAATTTCTGGCTAAATGATAGGAGTTTCAGAGGTGGAAACAAAATTAGTCATCAAATCTAGCTCCTTTGTTTTATGTAGGGAGAAACTGGAATGAGAAACTGACTTGCCTGAGATCACAGAATGAACAAGTGGCAAACATGGCCGTGAATCTAACCTTTGAATCTATTCAAGTTTGGCAGTTTTGTTTCCTCTAGCCCCTTATTGGCTTTATAACTAGAAAAGCCAAATACTAATCCTAACAACAGGAATTAGCCTAGGAAATAAGTAGAGAACTTGAGGGGTTCAAACAGGCGCCTGTATCTACCCAGTAGGTCATACTCCTCTTGTGATAGGAGAATTTGGTAAGATGGACTATGTTCATTTCATCAAAGCTATTTGAGGCCAAATACCCAAATTAAAAGGAACCTGCAGCCTGATGGCTTCTGAGGGAAGTACATACTCTGATCTCCATGGAATTGAGTAACTTAAAGATGCCAGAACCCTGTGTAGGATAGAGTTTTCATCCAAATATGCCTCAACCTCTAGGCCTGGCCGCAGAAACATGCTGAAAACAGCTTGACCTCCATCTTTTTCAAAGTCAGGTCCACGGTCACTTGTTTTTCTTACCAAGTCATTCAGGTTTCCCCTCAGACATGACAACGCTCAACTAGTGGTCAAACCTTCAGAAAGTGTATTTGCATTCAGCAATCCCCTATATGCAAAGTCATGTCAGGAAATGAAAGGATGCCGGAAAAAGAGTTTTTAAAAAAAGGTACAGTTCTAGGACAAGTGCTAAACCAGTCATGTAAGTGTGGTGTTCAGGTAGAGGATAAATGGGAGTTACTGGGACCTTGAATGACAATGAGCTAACATTTATTGAGTGCTTGTTGCATGCCAGTCACTGTTTTTAAGTGCTCTAGATACATTCTCAGTTAATCCCCATCACAATCCTACAATCAGGAGCCCCATTTGTAGATGAGAAAATGATGAGCCTGATAGAGGCTAAGTAACGACCAAGGTCACAAAGTTGCCAGGGAGAAGCTCTTGTTTGATAGCGCTTTCTCCGAAAAGCCTTTTCGACCTAGTTCCCTTCCAATTCAGAATTCCACTCAGCCCACCCCAACTTCCTCCGCCCTTGCAGGTGCTTGCCTGCCCCTGTCAGAGCACAGTCTTCATCCGCCTTCAGAAAGGCTATGCTCGCCTATCACACTTGTTACAGTGGGGGTTGCTGGGGACAGGGAGCTGGTGGGCTTCATCTCTGATTCAGGGCACAGCCCGGAGCAGCCTATTTGTTTACAGGAAGGTGAGGCCGTTGTTTAAAGAACACAGCTGTCTCCACTCAAACTAAATTTAAGAGGAATGATTTCTGCTTTTACAAGAATTAGCCCAGTTCTGATCCCCAGTCAGGGCACATAAATGAATTAACCAATGAATGTATAAAGGAGTGGAACAACAAATCAATCTCTCTCGCTCTCTCTCCCTCTCTCTCACACATGCACACACACACACACACACACACACACACACACACACACATCAACTTAAAAAAAAAAAAAAAAAAAAAACGAATCAGCCCAGCACTGGACTCTGCAGTCTACCCAGGGGCAGAGAGAAGGACAGGGAACAGGGCAGGAGATTCAGAGGCCCCGACCAAGCCTGACACAGGGACACCTGGGCTCTGCACCCTGCCTCTACAGGCATGCAGTCACCAAGCCCTGTAGATTCAGCTTCCTGAACAACTTCCCTGCCTTTAACCCTATCACCAGTAGAGAGGATAATTGCCATCACCCCTCTCCCGTTACTGTACCTGCCTCTAACTGTAGGCCTGACTCCAGTCGCCCTCCTTCCAGTCCTTAGCCCCCTCTGGTCTTGCCCTAGGCACTTTCAATGGCCAATCTGCAGCATTCTTATCTGGGTTTACAAACTGGAAATTTACCCGTTGGTTAAAAGGCAGACTAGTTCATGGGGTTAAGGCATCAGCAAATGATTGTTTTGATTTAAGATTTGATATTTTATTTAAAAGTTTGATCATGAGAAAAGGTGGATTTTATTGGACATCATACATTTATTTTGAGGGTTAATCTTGAATCCACATTGAGGCACCATAACCGTCTTGGTGTCCAGAGCCCTCATCTAGCCTCTCTGCAAGGTCCTTTGTGGCCCAAAGCTTGCCAACCCCTCGAGCCTCACCCTCAGCCTTGCCATTTGTCCCCCCGGCTTCCCAGCCTACACACCTGCCCCAGCCCAGCTCCACTGTTGTGTGATAGGGAGAAATCCCTTAACTTGTGTGCTTTGGTCTCCTCATCTGTAAAAAGAGGGATTTTATTATTTTTTTAATTATAAAAAAAACCAATATACACTCTTTATTGATTATGCTATTACAGTTGTCCCATTTTTTTCCTCTCCTTTATTCCCCTCCACCCAACACCGCCCCACCCCTCAGCATTCCCCCACCCCTGAGTCCATGTCCATTGGTTGCATATACAAGTTCTTTGTCTTCTCCATTTCCTATACTATTTTTAACCTCCCCCTGCCTATTTTGTACCTACTATTTATGCAGCTTATTTCCTGTACTTTTTCCCTCATTCTTCTCCCTCCCCCACCTGTTTTACTGTACATAGTTATTTATTTATTTATTTATTTATTTATTTATTTATTTATTTTAAGAAAAGACCCTTTAACATACATAATAAGGGCTTGGTGATGATGAACTCCTTTAACTTGACTTTATCTGGGAAGCACTTTATCTGCCCTTCCATTCTAAATGATAGCTTTGCTGGATAGGGTTATCTTGGATGTAGGTCCTTGCGTTTCATGACTTTGAATGCTTCTTGCCAGCCCCTTCTTCCCTGCAAGCTTTCTTTTGAGAAATCAGCTGATAGTCTTATGGGAACTCCTTGGTAGGTAACTGTCTCCTTTTCTCTTGCTGCTTTTAAGATTCTCTCCTTATCTTTAATCTTGGGTAATGTAATTATGATGTGCCTTGGTGTGTGCTTTCTTGGGTCCAACTTCGTTGGGACTCTCTGAGCTTCCTGGATCTCCTGGAAGTCTATTTCCTTCTCCAGGTTGAGGAAGTTCTCCATTATTTTTTCAAATAAGTTCAATTTCTTGCTCTTCCTCTTCTCCTTCTGGCACCCCTATGATTCAGATGTTGAATCATTTAAAGTCGTCCCAGAGGTGGTTCCTAAGCCTCTCCTCGTTTTTTGGAATTCTTGTTTCTTCACTTTGTTTGAGTTGAATGTTTATCTCTTCCTTCTGCTCCCAATCATTGATTTGAGTCCCAGTTCCACCCCTTTACTGTTGGTTCCCTGCATATTTTCCTTTATTTCACTTTGCATAGCCTTTGGTTTTTCCCCCATTTTGCGACTATACTCAGCCATTTCTGTGAGCATCCTGATGACCAGTGTTTTGAACTCTGCATCTGATAGGTTGGCTGTTGTTCATCGCTTAGTTCTATTTTTGGAGCTTTGATCTGTTCTTTCATTTGGGCCATATTTCTTTGTCTCAGTGTGCCTGTTACTTTGAGAGGGGCAGAGCCTTAGGTATTTGTCAGGGCAGGGCAAGCCAGGGCGCTGAATTGTGACACTGTCTGTGTGGGAGGGGTTCAAGAAGTGCCGCTTGCTCAGCTCTCAGCCGGCTTTCAGTCACTTCCCCCGCTGCCCACAAGTAAATTAGGCCCTTCTGGTGCCGATTCCTGGGTAGATGGGATTGTGTACATTCTAGAACTCTGTGGGTCTCTTCAACAGACTTTCCTGTGAGGCTGGGAGTTTCTCCTGCTGCCGCAACCCCCACAGGTTTTTACCTCCAGAGGTTTTGAGACTTTCTTTTCCCACAATGAAACCCTGGATTGTGTGGTCTGTCTCACTCTCCCGCTGTTTCTCCGGTTTATCTGCACGCAAATGTGAGACCACCCTGTCCTCCAGCCGCCACCTTGCTGGGAGTCCTCTCCACCCCAGTTGCCCGCCTCCCCACCTCCTACTGGTCTGGATGAATATTTCTTCTTTAGCTCCTTGGTTGTCAGATTTCCATACAGTTCGGTTTACTGGCAGTTCTGGTTATTTTTTGTTTTTAAATTTGTTGTCATCCTTCTTTTGGTTGTGTGAGGAGGCAAAGTGTATCTACCTATGCCTCCATCTTGGCTGGATAAAAAGAGGGGTTTTAAATGCATAAGCGTGAAAGAAATGATACAGACCATGCCTGGCATGTGTAAGTACCAATTGTTATTTGCCATTGTTTTTCTTCTTCCAATCTCATAACCTTAACACAAGCTATTTTCTCTGCCACTGTCTTCCCACGGACCTTTCCTGTTGTCCCAACCAATTCCTTCCAGCCTTGCCAGCTCAGTCTAAGAGTTACCCCTGCCCCCAGAGCAGCGTCCTAACCATACATGAATAAATGTGGTGAGAAAGTGCCTCGAGAAGGGCAGGCTGTGCAGAAGGGGACCAGGGTCAATGTAAGAAATGTCCAAACTTTTACAAGCTTGAGTCAAACTGATGACAATTTCCAGGAAAATCTCAATGAATTAAGAAAAAATGGTCAGGAGAATGGCAGTTTTGTAGCTTATTGCATACATTGGGATCAGAGGAGAGGGCGTAAAGAGGGTTATATGAAATTCATTGATGGCAGGTTAAGGGGGAGGGAGAAAGTCAAGTGGGGAAACTTCTGGAATTAGATAAAAACAGACACACTTGTACACTGGGAGGCACAGGATAGCTAATAATTAACAGCATTTAAAGATGGTGTTTGGGGAGCAAGATAACAATGCGGGTTTGTGTAGTCTGGTGCTCTGGTGTGCTGGGTGTG